GATAGCATTATCATCAGTTCCTCTCCCACTCAAATGAGACAAATTAAATAATCGAACCTGCAGAAAGATAAGCAAGTTGACTTATAATCAGTATTTAACTGTCAGCAAAAAGCATTCAACATTTGCAATTTATAAATATCCAAACATTACTTCTGCATCTCCAGCTCCAGAGACCACAAGCTCATCAGAAGTTTCAGGGACAAATTTTGTACAAAATATGTTCGCACAGTGCCCAGTCTCTATAGAATGCAAAAGCTTCCGACTAGCATAGCTCCAGATATTTATCTGCAGAGTATGGTGGAGGCATTAATAACATTTTCATGTTGCAAAACATGTACAACTACATGTCCCAAGGTTCCATCTTCACTAGCCCTTTAAGAAGCATTACCGAGTTTTTGACCTCAACAACAAAAGATCATTCCAATGTAAAAGAAGACTTAACTTCTGCTAAGCACCATATATCTCATCCATATTTCCTTATCCATGAAGAGATAGCCACATAAAGAGCAATCTAATGCAATGTGAAAATAATTTTCGATGAAGAAATATACGACTTGTCAGATTTTAGTTCCGAAGCATATTAACACATATATCCAAGCCAATAGGATGAAACTAGGAAGTATTCTGCATCCTTAACTACGTACAATAATACTTCACACACCATACCAGTATCTTCTATTTTGTGCTACCAATATGTCACTTAGGAAATGTTATGAGTAACAATATGAAATCAAGTAATTAACATACCCGTGTGTCATCTGATCCAGATATCAATAGTGAACCTTTAGAATTCCAAGCGATAGAATTGACACAACCCTGATGCCCCTGTAGAGAGAGAGAGAGAGAGAGAGAGAGAGAGAGAGAGAGTCATTAAATAACAATTATAGATAAGCAACCATTTTTGTTTTCTGACTCAATGGAATTTTTTCCATGGCACATGTCCAAAGAAAAATTCAGAAATATACTCAAAAGGTGAATTAAGAAATACTCACTAAAATTAGTATACACAGCCAAAATTTCATATATCCTAACCACAACTGCCCACCGGAAGCTTAAGATTAGAAATCATGCTAGTTTGATGTACCAAAGAACTTAAGCACCAAATAAGATTTGCACCATTGTAGTTGTACGTATATGTCAAGAATGAAGTTTCACCAATAAGACACTCTACAATCTGTACACTACTTCCATCTGTTTAGGACATTTACAGCATAGATATCTTTCTCCTCAGGTTGAAAAAGTGCCTCTGTGAACAACGTGATATGATGAACCCCAGTAAGACATCTAGGTTCCCCAAATTGTAGGAACTCATAAATAATGACCACGGCAAGCCCCATATGCAGAAGTTTAATTGGCAGTTATCCCCCCACACCACGAGAAGTTCACCCAGATGCCTTGGAAGTGTCATTACAGTCTCCAACTCATCCTGAGAGTGAATCTCTTAAGTTGAGTACAATTGAGGCGGTGTTTGCCCAACTAGCTACTTAATTCAGTCTTGTCTCTAAACAATTCCTTAGAAACAATTTGATCATATTTGAAATTGAGTGGATTTACAATAGTTTAACTCACCAATGAACAATAGCATTCATTGAGAACTAGTTTTCAGTGGAACCATGTTTTCTCTAACTGTAAATCCACAAATAACAGCTGAAGAACCAGTATGTTACTTCGCTTTTTTTTTCTTTCCTTTTTTAAAAGCAAAAGTGCAAAACTAAGTACACACGACTGACCGATCTCTCAACTCTGCCTATAGGCAATAAAATTACATCATTCGTGTATTTGGTGGTAACAATGAGAATTACCAGTAAAAGATTACAACATTCTGTGAATACTTTCCATTAACACATTTCAATTGCCTTAGATTACCACACTAGACTTCACACAAAAATTCACATGTACTGAAATTTTTTGAGTCTTTGGCAGAATAATATTAGCTGAAAGCGAAATGAAATGGTGCATAGCTATAACATGGCATAAATAAACAAAATTGAAGCCAACCTCCAATTCTCTTTCCTGAGAAAGCCTTCGAACCAACGACGAGTGCATCTGCAAGCTGTGATTGCCATTCTACACACACCAAAAATTCTTCATCGCATCACAAACAAAAAACACAAGCGAATTGCGAAACCTTAAGCAACCACAATTCCAAACGTGAACGCGAGAGAGAGAGAGAGAGAGAGAGAGAGAGAGAGAGAGAGGAAATATACGTTGCGAACGTCGACGTATCGGCTCTCAATCAAGTCGTGGATGTTACCGTCGTGAAAAGGCACACCCTCCATTGATGAGAGAAAAAAGCCGAAACCGAAACGCGATCGTGTAGGGTCCGATAATCTCAGTCAGCTACTTGCAGAAGAAGCGCTTCTCGATTCTTCTTCCACAGCTTTTTATTCAATTTGTCCAATCTTTTAAGGAACACGAACACTCGGCTTTTTCCTGAAAATTGTTTGATTTAATTTTATTTACTTTACAGTTTCTAATTTATATTTTACACAAGGACGGAATCACGATTTATTTTATTTTTATCATTTGTGTAGAAAATTATAGTGTGATCGTGTCCTCTGGGAGCGCGGACTTTCCACCTTCTAGGAAGCTCGACGGCTGTGATACGTATGCGTTGTGTTCAAGCGCCGTTGATCTTCTTTTTTTGGCGGTGATTGATATGGTTGAAACTTGGAGCTTGACTTAGGTTCTGCATTCGGGACCCACTATATCGTCATGTATTGTTTGTTACCTCTAAGTGGGCCAGCGGTATGTCGTTTTCTAAAAGTGCTGTTTTATGGAACAGACGACGAGGCTTGGGCCAGCACTGTAGAGCTAGAATTTTACCATGTTTGGGCTTAGCATTTGATACTTTTTGGAGCTTTCTTTCGCGCTGCACAATTAGAAGCCCAGATGTTCGGCGAGGGCTCAAATAAGCACACGAAAAACTCATGACAGATATTTGAATTATCTGGGTCTTTTCAAAGCCTGAATCATCATCAGCAAATATTAGTGATGTATCATGCAACTTATATTTTCTTTTGTAATCACATTTGCATGATAATAAACATCATATAATTGCAGGATACTACATTGATATAGGCATATGAGTCAATCAAAAATGACGAATAAGCTTTATTAAGTTTGAGATATTGGAGAAAACTAGAGTTCAAATACTTTATTTGTCAAATTTACATAAAATTAGACATTTGCTAATCATCGTGCCCAACATAATGAGAGTACATATCAAATTTTGCTTACATTTATACATTGGGTTTTTGTGGCTTTAAGATAAAATATCTTCACCGATCAGACAAGTCGGATGATGCCATACAGGTTGGCATGTGGTTTGAGGGAAATGATTTCTTATTGACCCATCTTATGTACACACTTTCTCCGTACTGTTGCAACACACTACCCAAACATTGGAGTTTTGTACTTCTTTGGGGTTTTTCTGCTCTATTTGTTCCTTATACCGAGATATGCTCACATTCCCAATCTCATCACTTATTGTATCTACGCTAATTTCTTGCCACTCAAGTATTTTCAAAACCAAGAACAGATAAACCATTGTCTTTCACTGAAAACATTTAATTTACTGGAAAAAAAAAGAGAGAGCAACTTCTTGTTAGCACGTCACTCTTCCAGTGGACGTTTAAATGGACGTCGTAAACACTTCGCCAGTCTATCAGTGAAGTAAATGAGTCCAAGTGTGAATATCTATTCATGCAACCTTCACCGCTTAATTTTTTTTTATTTAACATCAAATAAGAAATTTCACTTGTGATTTATCTGCCAGTTAATTTTGTGCAGATGATTATTGATATTAAACACAATATCTTTGCATTTCAAGAAACAAATGCCCATCTTTGTAACAGCTTTACATAATTATTTGATGCTGCTTGTTAGCCATTTTGATTTGAAGTAAGAGTTAAGATTATACATGTGTTACATCATAGGGTTATTTTACATTATTCCTCCCACCCGCACCCGTGCCCTTCATGGACATATATTTTCCTCTCACTAATAATGCAAAACTCAGTGGTCCCTTCACCATCAAAACAGCATCACATCACATCCATCATCTACAATTTTAAAGGAATTCTGCAACAACATAATTTGAACAAAACAAAACCCTAAAGGAATCCACACAAACACATCGCTATCTCATATCATAAATGCGTGCATGCGACGTAAGTACATATACATCAGGACAACAAATAACACCAACGAACATAAATTTACATCAACCAAAACCCTTAGGATAATCACAGTAAAATCTTCAAATAAAAGTGCCAATACAGTGAAATTTCCATATTTGTTTTTTGGCTGCCTCTGTTCACATAGCTGTCTTGAATTGAATTTGCATAAAATGGTTGGTTTTGGAGATGGAATTGGGGCCCCTTTTGGCAAGTTGCATGATGGAGTGGAGAAGGCCTTCTCTTGCTCGTGCAAACTTGTACATCAGACAAAGTAAAAAAGAAGAAAAACCCTACACAAGATGAACATGACAAGTAAACAAAAAAAGTGTGAAGAAAGTTAAGTTTGGGACCCAAAAACAACCCAAGGGGCGTGCACTCTTCTCTTTCTTGGGGCCCCTCTTCAGAATAAACAAAGTCTTTCAATCCACCCCATGCCCAGGTGCGGATGTCACTTTCTCTTAAACCTAAGAGAAATCATTCACCTCCCTTTATTGGGGCATAATGTAAAGCACTCTCTTTTCTTCTTCCCTTGGTTTTGAGAGAAAATATCACAAAACCAAAACTCTCTGCTGATTTCCCACTCCAATCATTGAGGAAATACTCTTCGGAGGGATTCAAGCTCTTCTTCCTCTCCACTTGCTGCTACAAATTTAACCACACCTTAGCTGGAACCTCTTATGTCAGACCATATCCACAAGCAACTCATGTACACCGGACTTATTTTCAATAATCACGTTAACAATTACTAATCAACAATACTTGAGAATGACAGAGTAAAGTGCCCACTAGAAACAATGCTGGAACGGACATAGGCAGAACTCAGAGAGAATCAAGTCCGAAGGCCTTGGCTTTGAGCTTCAATGACTTTAAATAGTGGATGGCTTCGTCAAGCACCACCATTGCATCCTTCCCCTTGCCGCCAGGAATTATGTTCTGCAGAATGTTCACAGTTTCACGTATTTTTTCCTTTCTCATTTTCTTGTTGCTGGATAAGGAATCCACTTCTCTGAACCCAGAACTTCGGTTGCAGGCACAACTGGATTCTGCATCATCCTCTAACTCCAACGATCGGTTGGGTTTCATGGAACTCGCAGTGTCCATTATGGATGGTACCTCACCATAACCTCCATCAAATAGCTTCCGCTTTTTAGTCATTCCAGCAGAACTAGCAACTTCTTCGGTCCTTTCTTCAAACCAATTTTTCTTATCATGAACTGTCATTGTACTGGGGGAATGACCTGTGCTAGTAACTTCATCGTCCTCTTCGGTATAATCACTATCACCATCTGAGTAGAGCAAGGCATTCAGTTCTTCTGTGTCTTCATGCATCTCACTAGCACCACTTTCATCGTTTCCTTTCAGCTCATCAGTCAAATTTGCTCCTGACAGATTTTTCAAATCTCTTCCAGTTTGAGGATCATCCCCGTTCAAATAATAAGCCCCTTGTTGGTTTGGATTCCAAGAAGTACGGCACAGCAAAGGATTCACAATCCCAGAACCAAAGAAAAAAGTTGTTTGATCCCCTGACGAATTGTTAACAAGAAGTCTCTTCTGTTCACAGACAGAGTCTGCATTGGGTACCAATGTGTCCCCCGGACTTTCATAACGGCAAGCAGAAAGTTTCTCTCTGAGAACAGAGTGTGCAGCAGGCACGAAGGCCTGTCTGATACGGGGTAAGCAATAGAACCAACCGTGAGGTTCATTTGGTCTGCCAATTTGTGGATGGGGCAACTCAGGAGATGCATATGCTGGCGAAGTACCATTTGGCACAGGCATATTAGGGCCAGGGTTACCATATGCAGAAATGAAGTTTTGTTGCCCCAAGCTATGTGGAGCACCGAAGGAATTTGGATCGGGAGGTTGCCAGCCAAGATGCAGCTGAGGAATCCACGTTCCAAAATCTTCACCCATCCAACTAAAACAAATACCTAAAAAGTAAATAAATTTTTTTAGAAACTTAAAGATTAAAAAAACCAAGAACAATAAATAATGATGTTTATTGTATCAAATGGACAATATAAAACATACCAGAAGGACGTATGTACAACTAGAAACAGCTGATTTATGTCTCTCTTTCAGCAACAATGAAATAAACTAAAAACTCCAGCTTAAACTTGAACACAAAAGCACAGAATCTTCCTACGTTACAGGTTTGAGCAAATGACGAAAATATTCAGCCTGGAAAATACCCAAGAATCATATTAGGCATCATCAACCACTGCCGAGCATGAAAAAATAAAAAGGAATCTACAGAAAATGAACGGATAAATTTGAAACACGAAACAGGTGAATCTGATTCTTCTCTCTTAAACGTACTGGCAACAAGTATTAAATTATCCTTGACTAACCTGGCAATCCTGGAGAGGTTGAAAGCATGCTATAACTCTAACAATTATGGTGGCGCTCCCATCAATCCCATTTTCATGTTTCAAAGCCCGAAATCTTGTTTGGCTCGCTGCTTGGCACACCATAACTAAACAACTTCCCGGCACTTGAATATTTTGGGAATGAGAACAGTCTTCCAAACAACAACAATTCTACCACACGGTAAAACCCAAAACTAGATTGAGCAGACTGATAGACAAGAAAGAGAGACTGAACCAGCAAAACAAGCAGGGTTGGTTGATGAACGAGAACGAAAGAGAGATAATATGAAAAGGGTTGATGATGTAAAGCTAAAGTTAACCAAATACAAGAAAATGAATATGGACTGAAACAGAACTTCAGCAAAAGGTTTCGGATTTTTCTGATTCAACTAATCTGACGAACATAACAAGGAACGACGATGAAGAAAGTGGATCCCATGGAAAATATCAGATAAGAAAGACTAAGAAAATTGAAGGATTTTTATTAAACGCTCACAGCTCGGCAAAAAAGAACAATTACAGAATAACTCTACAGTAAAGGTTCAAAGAGATGACTTTGCGAAAAACATCAACAGAGAGACTCAGACACCACCGCATGCTGTTCTGGTCTTACCCACAAGCTAATTTATCGATCTCCGCCACTTCTTCCTCTATCCCCTGCAATGGAAAATCAGTCTATCAGGCACAGTTCTCTAGCTATTTCACTTGGTTTTGTGCTGAGGCAAGCTTTGCCTGCTCAAAACTCAATTTTTATCAAAATGTTTGTGTTTTCTTAACACAAAAAAAATTCCCTTTTCATTTTCCGGCGAACCAAACTGGGAGTCAAGATCCAAAAAAACATGAACAAATCGACCATTCCGCCATTAAAAGTTACGAGATTGAAGAGACAACTTACAGTGTGCGAAAACCCAATTCGAGAACAAGATTGGTTAAGCCGTGCGTGAGAGAGCAAGATCGAATTACAGAACTCAGGAAGCTTTCAGAAGAAGCAGAGGAAAGTGGGTCTGAGAGAGGAGAGAGAGTAGGGAATGCAAATACAGTCAAAAACTAACCGTGGGGAGAGCACGGAGGCTGAGATTATATAGAAATGAATTTTACCGAAATGTCCCTGGTTGGGGGGTGTCAATTTCCTTTTTTTTTCTTTTTTTCTTTTTTTTGGGGCGACAAAAGATAGATAAAGGGTGTTGGGGTGGCCCCGTGACCGTGGGTGGTTTTATCATCACTCTCACCTGGAGTTAGCGTTTGAGTCAGGTCAAATAGTCAACGGCCTTATTGACCACGTTGTTGGGTTCGAACCAAACACGACCTTAACTCTGGTTGGCTTCTTCCGTCTCAGTGTTGGGACGCTTCTGCTGTAATGCACACGTGTCTTGTTTCTCTTCTTCGTGCATCTCATCATTTTCTATCTTTAAATTTCCTAAAATACCCTTATAGTATCATTTAGAACGATCGCGTATTTGCCCTTCTCATTATCATTTTGGTAAGCATTAGGTTTTATCATACTTGCTATTTTTGGTATAACTTTGCCCTTTTTTCTTATTCTGGAAATGGAGGTCTTGAATTGAATTCTACTTATAGTCCTACCACCGAAAGCAGAAAATTAGAACTCGCTTGGTATGATTTTACTTATTTCTTTCCAAAATTTGCATTCGAAACTTATTTCAAATGACAAATGAATGGTTTGTGTTTTTTTTTATAATGCAATATTCAAACTATTTTAATGTATAAAGAGGGAGATCGAATTGAAATGCAATACTGCCTTGGTCAACTTACCTTATTTATGATAATTGATCAATAATAAACTTTAACAAGCCTCATCAAATTTGCCATATTTGTCACTTTATTTTCTAACTTTTTTTGGTTACATTGGAGGAAAGAAATCCTACTAGAGTTCGATCCTGAGTGCGATGGGGAAGGGGGAATCCACCACTACTGTGGTGGGAACCCATTGACTTAGTTCTCTAACTTTCAATTCAACTCAAACTATTTTCTTAACTTTATTCAACATATTGACAATTTTTATGGAATAAAAAAAACACATTAAGAAGTTGTTATTTACAACCACAGTTTGTCATTGTGCAACCAAAAACTTATATTTCATTGTTTTCATTATTTTTTTCTCTAAAAAACAAAGTATTCCTTAGCACTTACCACTTTATTGTTAGTCCCTTATTTTAAGATTAACAAAAGAGTACTTACTTTAAGATTTCATACATTAACGACTATCAACAGTTCATGCATAACTTGTATACATAAAAGTTATTACATTTTTGCCCTTATAACTGATAAACTCGAGTTGAATATCATCCTTTTATCTTGATATCATGAGAACCACTTAAGGTGGTAACATGAATGGAAACATACTAGGTGCTCTCACTTTTCGGTATGCCACAAACCGTGAAATGATGCAAGGCAGGGCAAAAGGGATGGTGGAAGAAGAAGGAAAGGCAAATTAGGGCAAATGTATATACAGGTTATAAAGATAAAAAATAATAATAATAATAATAAAAGGATGGCATCCAATGTTTTACATGAACACCAATAATTTGGAGCTTGACCATTCAAACACATGAATTATAGATGCATTTATGGGGGTCCCACTGATCTGGATTGGGTAATGTGATATCCAAGACTCACACTCCACCTGACAAATTGCATCTCCTCTTTGCTACTATTTATCCATCAATGTCCTCTTTCAGTGTTAGGGTTAGGGTTAGGGTTAGGGTTAGGGGGTGGTTAAAAGGCCAATAGGTCTAGACCCCGCCACATATAGAGTACAATAATACTTTTCATTGATGTGCCTCAACCATCAAAGTAGCCATCAATTGGTTGGCCCAAACCAAGAGTGAAGAGTCGGGAGCATTTGATTAAGCTTAATCACCCTATGATTTACCGCATGGTTCACATTTTTTTAATCAAAGCATGTATTTCTTTCGGTAAATCAAAATTAGGATCATTTTATGTTTTTGCTTCAAAAGATGTATAGTTTTGTTGTTATCCTACCGAAGACGACATTCAATTGCACGTCTAGAGTAATTTTTTACACTTATTTTTTTATATGTTATTGTGTCAAGCGCATCTCCAAGAGTACTACGAAACTTTTTTCATAAAAAAAATGATACTAAAACTTGACTCTTTAAAAATGAGGAGGAGTTCCTTCTCACAACAATTGAGATTTTAACACTTCTCAAATTCAACAATTGCTATTTTCATGAGACACAATTTTTATTATTTTTTTGGTCGGATGCTCTTTCTTAATTCTTGAGTAAAAACACAAAAATAAAAAGGGAATTTTACTAAAACACTCAAAATGGGGGCTGAAATTATAAAAAAACCCAACACTCAAAATATTTTATAAATACACCAAAAACTCATCATTACACACACTCAAAATCCATTGATAAACACACAAAAAAAAATATACAATTGTTGATTTTGGGTGTGTTTCTATATTTAAATAGTGTTTGAGTTTTTTTATAAATACATGTCTAGAATTTGGTTTATTTATAAATTTGTAAAATAAAAACCAAAAGCGACTAGTATAGTAATAATTTTAAAATATAACTTACATTAATAATAAGATAAATGGTTCGACATAGGCAGACAAGTGAAGAATAATAATTATTATTATTTATTATAAAAAAATAAAAAAAATCCCTTATTTAATTAAACTGCAAAATTTATCATAGGATTCTAATTTGATATGTGACAGACTTTAAACAACGAGACCAAACAGACAGGGGCCTGCATTAAAAAAAAGTATGAAGAAAAAGAAGTGGAGCAAGAAGAAGCTAAACCCTAGTGGCTAGTGCCCACTGTGGTTAAACCAAAAAAAATATAATAATAAAAAGGTAGACCCATGATTTGATTAGCTGAAAGAGATCTTAAGGCACAGATAAGAAGATCTAAAGGACGTAATTATAAATGTATTTAGGGTTTATTTAATTGGCAATAATATACATACTTTCATGCCCTCTTGTTTGGAGTGGAGGGAACAATGGCCACGCCCAATCAAGTCTCTTCCTCCCCTCCCAATCTCATTGGGTCGACCCTTTTGGTGGCACTGAAACACTCTCCCTTGTACAAACTACAAAATGAGATGTAAAGCAAGGATTCTTTGTTCAATGTTCATCTCAAAAACAAGTGTTTTTTTTTATTTTTTATTTTTAAAAGAAAAAGAAATATAGCTTTCCTCCGCACGTCTTATGTGTTATTTAATCATCATAGCCACTTTGAATATCAGAGAATTTTATACTTTATGATCTTTCAAGAATAAATTTGTTGAATGGTGGTTGTGGATTGACCACTTGACTAAAGTCCTTTTGTAGCACGAATTTTTATTATTATTTATTTTGTTTTGTTTTGTTTTTAAAGTTCAAGCTTAGCAGCTTACCCACCAAGAAGAAAGGAATGGATGATTCTGTGTAACGCATTTGAGCTGAGTACTAATCACAGCTAGTGGACCCTCCATTTTCTGTGGATGTCCGGCGGTTTTCTGTTTTCTTTCTAAAAACAATACATTATTGGTATGTGGTTAATGTGCTTTGCTTCAAATTTATGAAGGAGGGGGAATCGAATTTGTGTGAAAGCGTTCGGCACACTGATATGATCAACTCGTTAAATTCGTATATACTTTATTGAGTTAATTTTGTCATAATATTTTTAAATCGTTGGGAATTTTGGCCTTTTCTGTCTAATTGGATGTTAATATTCTCAAATGAGGGAGCTGATGCGCATGGGGCATTGTTAACAAATTAAGATACAATAAACAAATTAATTAAAACGAAAAAATTCAAGCTTATAAGGACCAAAAATTTGTTTAAATCTATAGTCTTTATTTAACAGTCTAATAAAGTATATATGTTCTTAAGCTAAGAATGTCAAGATGTATGTTGGTGTACATGGTTTTATGATTGACATAAATGATTTGTTTCAACAAACAATCAAATGCATATGCTTTTAGGGTTTAACTTGCCTTCAAATCATATATAGCACAAGCTCATTCACAATCATGGTGAAAGCAATGGACAACTTCTATCAAGCATGATAGATGCACATTTTTTAATTAAATCAACTGTAAGCATTGATTGGGACATTTTATTTGATCTTGAAATGTTTTATGTTCATGTTTCAATTATATTAAATTACTATCTTTTTCAATATGCATTAAACAAGAGCAATTCTCAACAAAATTTATTTGAAGACATTAGAGTTGTTATTGACACTTCGAAAAAATTATCATGCACTTCAAAGAGGTTGTTATTCTTCTACAAGGGAAGAGACGTGTAATTTCTCCCTTTAGTTGTTATAAAAGATGAGTACATAATGATTTTTTTTTTAAGTGCTTAACAGCTTCCAAATATATGATATTAACTTATACAACATTTTGGATTGTTTGATAAGATAGACAGTACTGCATATTACAACCTTCTATTGAAAAAACAAAAATATGGAAGAGTTGATAGGGCCGGACATCTGAATATTAGAGACGTGAAACGTATCACGTTGTGATTGACAGGAATTTTATATAATTTTATTTATAGAAAAGAGAGGGAGAGAGAGTTTCTTTAGGAGAGACCATTGTGATTAAAGTTAATTAACATGTATTTGAGTTTGGTGGGGGAGCGTGGGACATGAGACCATGGAGCCATTTGGTTGTGGAATCTCCAACAAAAACATCCACGCTTAGAAAGCTAAAACAATACTCTCTCCACCAGCCCGCACTAAAAGCTCATATGCCGTGCTTTTCATAAAAATAAAAACACAAAACCCACAAAATAAAAGGAAAGAGAGCAAAAAAGTGAAGGAATCCATGCCCTCTCTCTCCCTCCTCCCATATTTTATGGCAACATACATACCACCCACTCTCTTAGACTTTTTTCCACCCTAACTTTATTTATTAATTTACCCAAAGAAAATGTCCCATTACGTAGTGTCAACTCTCTCCATCTCTTTGTTTAATTAGGTGTTTGGAAGTTAATATAGTAGTTGTTCGAGATTGCACGATTGATTAAGTTGGTGTGGTTAGGCTTGAAATTTACATCATCAAACACGTGCAACCAAGCACGCCTCCATGAAAAGAAAGAAAAATATGGAATTATGATGGGCAAGTTTCAAGTGTCTTCCTCTAATTATTAAGGTTCTGATGTAAGGTTTGGTGCTTATATAATTGGTTTTGGTTGAGGTCATTTATCAGACCTAATTATTTAGCATTTGTGGGTAGTTATATGTTTTTGTTAGAAGCATATAAAAATATAAGTATTCGGTTTTAGATTTTCACTAAACTACGTACATATTCTTAATTTGATAATGATGTAACAAGTTTGATATAAAGTTAAAGGACCATGTCTGTGCTCCCAAGTGGTCTTGAGTTCAAGGCTCTACGATATCCGTGTGTGTCGGTTTCCCCACCTTCCCTTTTCTAACTCAGTGAAAAATAGGTTTTGGTCAATTTGAACATAAAAATGGTTTGAAATATCTTGTTGCACGCCAATGTCCCTTGGATGGCAAGAAAATAGAAACTTTGGCATCACAATCTATAGATGTGATGTTGAAGAGGTAAACTTCTCATCTACCCACTAGTTAAGATAGAGTTGAAATTAAGCTAAAGAGTTGGGGCCTTTTGAGGTAGCACCAATTATATGGTGTTTGAAAAAAAAATTCGAACAAGAGGAAATATTGATGGTTACAAACTTCTAATCATGCCAGCCCTATATCATTGGACCCGAACACACTACGCACATCCATTGAACATTAGGCATCGCAAGTCAACAAAAGAAATAGTAACACTATGGCATTGGCGCTCCAATCAATACAATTCACAAAACCGATGTCGAGAATGATATTGATGTGCGGCATAAGAGGATGTGGATGACGTTAATCATCTTGAAAAAAATATATTTGAAATAACACATGAACTACTTATGATGAAAAACAATCTTTTCGATCTTAGGCGTGCGACCCGATTTACTTCTTGAAGTGCGGATGTATTGTGGCTTCATGTTAATGTAATAAGAGCAATGTAAGTGGAAAACACTTTTTTGTTGGGACAAAGGGGAAGACATTATAGTAGTGGACTAATTGCCGCTAATTAAGTTCTAATGAATTGAACCGTGCGTACATTTCTAGGTAATAATAAGGGCAATACCAATGTCACATATATAATGAGCTCATGCTTCCACATTACTTCTATGCTAAGGTTGAAAATAGCGGATGAGAGGCATAATTAGGGTGCTTATGTTTCACATTTTTCACCCACGAATGAGGGTTTCGTTACAATTTTATATATGGATTACTTTGTGTTAATTAGTTTAGGACCACTAAGTCAAGGTTATCCACCCATAGCAGTGCAGTAATTATGATTTTGACCCTTCAAAGTAACGTCTATTAAGCTAATACCCATTCACACAAAAGAAAAGTGTGTTTTTATCTTAGTGGGTAACTTGGACCTTATGACTTAAATTATACATTTTTTGTAATTGGAAGGAAGATTACACGCGCATGTGTAATGTGAAAATGTAAAGAATGTCAATTGATGGTGAATTTTTCTATTTTATTAATTGAAGAGGAGTCATTTGAACTAAAAACGTCTTTCAATATTGAAACGAGTACTATCACTAAACAAATATCTAATCGGTTGGAATGCTAGTGAATTTTGACATTCCATCAATTAAAAAAGGATCATTTGAACTTAAAACGCCTTTCACTATTTAAAAGAGAACTATCAACCAATACATTTACTATTGATAAAAATGGATGGCTAAAACAGTACTTTGGTTTGGTACTTAGCCAGGTAATTAAATTAATCACTGACCTTGTAAGCCAAAACACTAAAAAAATTGGAAGGTTTTGAGGAGATTAAAATAAGATTAATAAAAAAAGGGAAGAAAATCTATGAATCCCAGACCACCAAATCTCCGGGTACAGTAAGGAACAGAAGACTTTAGGGAGAAAAAGTTGGTCACGCGACCCGCAAACTTTAATTAACAAGGCCGTCTTATCATCCCCCACCAGAATTGCTCATTGCTGCCACTACTGCCAGTTTCCAGCTCAACTGTCCACGTGGCAGAATCTGAGAGTTCAGGCCCGATAAAAGTCGTCACAGGCGGGTGAGGATAAGGCAAAAGACAGAAAGAGGAAATGATGAGCGTGAAAAGCAGGGCGATCTGCTGTGTGATACGCACCGTATCGGCGTTGGGATCTAGTGGCAGGAGGCGCATGGCCGCATGCTCTGGGCTCGCGGTTCCAGAAGAAGAGGAGTTTTGGTCAAACCGTAGTTAAATGGGCCTTTCAGCCCATGCACGCGAGGCTGGAGCAGGGGCCGTAAGGGGGAAGTTGGGCGGATGGGCGACACGTGGACTGAAGATTGTAACCCTCGGGTGTAGGGCCCACCGCATCAACGGAATTATTGCAAACGCGTAGCCGCCAGTTAAGCGTGCTTTCGTCTGGCGTGTTTTTACGCTTTTTTTGACATGAAGTTTTTCTACGCTTTTGTCATGTTTTGCGGTGATTTTTTATGCGTTTTGACCCCTTCCTCTAGTTTCGGGGATTTCTTGATTTCGCCCATGTCTACCATGCCTCCTAGATTTTGCCCTTTTCACTTGAACAATGTCCAACCAAATCCAAATGAATGGTTTTCTACCAAACTAAATGGCTGATTCTATGATATAGATGCAAACAAGATAAATGATAAATTGTCAATTCATGACATTCAAAATTTGACGTTTAAACATTTATGAATGTAGTCATTTAAGTTTATTTAATACGTATGATTTGTAGATGATTGCACGTATACGTAGTTTATATTTATATGATAATGAGTTGTGAGAACTTTACTCCTAATAAAAATATTTCTTACTAGATTATTTTTTATATTATGTTATTTGATCTTCAATTGAAACCAACCACGTGTATTCAAATTAACACCTCGCTATTATTCATCCGTTTATATCAATATCATAACAGTATGAGATTACAAAACACTTCACATTGACTAAACTCTTATTGCATTTCACCTAAATGATTTATCTTCATCGAAACCCTAAACTTACCAAAGCACTTTAAGGTCAAAAGTTCCCACCATTAACAATTTGAATGACCCATAGGCTTTAACACTCCCTATGTTCACATTCCTTAGGTCACGTGTAAATATTAGGCACACATGTATAATCTCATATAATCCAAACCAACTAATTAAGTACTTTGTCGAATCATCTTCACTTTTTTTTTTATGCTGCCACCAAACTTGATGATTGTTAGGCACATATCTAGCCCTAATTGTAACATGAAATCAACATTGAAAATGAAATTGCTATTCTATAATATTCATCTGGGGATATGCAAGTGAATAGAGTACAAATACAAGTAAATAGAGGGGGTAAAAAAGAATAATAGCAAAGTAAAAGGGTATGAGTAAATAAATAAATAAATAAATAAAGGTAAATCACGCGTGGGGTCAACCCATTCAATTCAGAAGTAGCTCCAAAGTAGGTGACAGCGATGAGGTCCTTTAGCCGTGATGCATTAGATTCCCACTGGATCGTCGTCAACCTGGTATATGAAGGCTAAGTCTGAAAGGCAAATTAGGGTTTACCTTTTTGTAACGACACGTCGCTCTACTGCATAATGGAATATTTGGATTTTGAGAAAGAGGCTGAGGCGGCCAATGGACTGAAAATTATGGTTTTGTGGTCCAGTCCATTGGTGACATATGATTGTGGCGTTATCTTGTTCGATTGGCCATTGTGAAATTATTTAAGGTTGAAGGTGATGCTCTACATTGGGGTCGATTGGACCTATCAAAATAAAGTTGTGGTGGGTCGGTCCAAGGCTGATCTTGCAACTATTCTTAAGTGATTAACGAGTCAAATAAAGTTTGCCCCATGAGGTAAGTATATGACTCATGATCCTACCTAGTAGCTTAACCAATTGTTACTTTTTAGGGTCGATTCCAGCTAGGCTCCAAAGTTTGGCTTAATTGCAATGACAATCTCTTAATGCATGACACAACACACGACTTCTGTCGTCAGTGAAATTTGACAGAACATGACATTTGAATTGGATATGCTTAATTGGCTGATAAAATATAAGCCATGTTAAAGGTGGGGAAAATCAAAGGGAGATTCAAGATTATACTTAATATAGGAGCTCAAATTATAAAAAGATCATATATGAAATGGATTTAGAAAATACACCTAAAGTCCGTTTACAATATAACAAATATGCTTTTAACTCTTTATAAATTACAAAACTATCATCAATTTCTTAAAACAAGTCCAATATGAAAACATCATAAAAAACTCAAAACACTCAATGGATTTGTTTATAAAAATTAAATGGTGTATGATTTATTTGTATCATTAATGCTAAGAATTGGTATATAACTCAATATACTTCAAAATAAAACCTAAGAGCAGTTCCAGCGCTACCAGTAACCCGCGCGCTGACAGACTCCAACGGGCATTTGACACGTGTCGCAACCGGGACTCTTCAATTGGTTTTTTTTCCAGAAAACCGGCAGTCCTATTTTTTTTTTGGCTAAAAATTGCAAAAAAAAAAAAGAGAAAAAATTCTGAATTTTTTTGAAAAAAAAAACCCAAAAAATTATGTATTTTTCCCTATAAATACCTAACCATTTTATTTACTTTCCACACCATTTTATTTATCTGAAATATGAGATTAATTTTTTTAAAAAATATATGAAAATCTTAAATGACATGAGACACGTGGCACAATTTTAGAGGGTGAAAATCTTATATGAAATATGGGATTATAATTTTTTTTAATGAATACCCGAAAATTTTATCTGGAATAAGACACGTGGCAACTGAGATTCTCATCCGAAAATCTTTTTTGAAAAATAATGGACACGTGACAACTAAAAATCTTATCCGAAAATTTAATTACAAAATATTATCAAAATTAATGGTTTAAAATATAAATAAATAGGAAATAAAGTACAATGAATAGTATTAGCCTTAGACTTACCCCTCATGGGTGGAACCACAAATGGCAAGGTTAACACTAGTTACGTAAATAGTTACAACCCTTACTTGCCCTTATCCTAGACTTAGCCCTTATGGGTGGAGATGCTCTAAGAGCGAGTCCAATTGTTGGGGCTCCAAAAAGGGCATATAGAGGTCCGATTAAATCTAAAATCGTACTCCCAATAGTTTGAGCTCTAAATACAAAATGAATGTAAGGAGCCCATTTATTGTAAAATGCGGGGCAAGTAAACTGCATCTTTTGTTCAGCATGGGGTCCACTGGGTCTCAGGGGCTTCAACAAGCTCTATACATTTGTGGACTTGGTTGCAATGCCCCAGTTGGGCTTGACCTTTTAGAGCCAATCCTGTTTCATTAGGAATGGGTTTTTGAGGTGGGTTGCTATAATTTACAGCCCCAAGGTGGTTCGGCCCCAATTAGAGCTCTCTCAATGGGCTTGCCCTAAGACCTCAGGTACAGTGATAAATACTCTTAATTATTTGGGCTACAATCCCTTTATTCCCTTGAACTCATTCAAAACAAACTTTACTTTAAACAATACCCACTATACCACCCCCGGCACCCTCAGTGATCCAAATCAACTGCAAAATTTCAAAATTGCATGCTCGGAAATACCACGGTCGACGAGATGGAGAGGTGAGAAAACGTGGGAAACAAAAAAATATTACAATGTGTTAAATTACCACATAAGTTATCAAATCAAAATTTAACATCTTTCATTCTCGCCTAAAATGAGAGGGTGTGGTTCATGCACAGTCGTGGTGCTCAATAGCGCAGGAGGGCTGCTGGAACTTTTAATCCATGATTTTGTATAGTTTGGGTCTGTTTGGGGCCTATTCAACCAAAGCTAGGCCTTATATGGTGGTACGCCCAATACGAGATTAAAAGCCTTTCTTAAAGGGCCCAACAATAGGGATATAATAGTAATTGAAGCTTCACCGCCATTCACTTGAAATCAAACTAAACAAGTCCCGCCTTTTCTTTCGCTATTTATGGTCCTCCGCCATTTCCAGCTCACATCCAGCTCTGCGCCCCGGAGAGAGAGGGAGGGAAGAGAGATTGTGGCCTGGATCCTGGAGAGCTTCTTCTTCGACGAAGGTCAGTTTGCATATTCAACTTCATCTGATATTCCAGGTGAATCAGACTGCTTAGAATTATATTGTCGATCAATTTTCAATTGAAAAAAAAATTAGGAATAGAATTTGATCAAGGGTTCATATGCATATTCAGATTCATATGATTTTATACCTGATTAAAACTGCTTCCGTCGTGTGCAGTTTTTGTATTTTTTTGGTGATTCATGGAAAATCAATGTTCAATATAAGATCTAACAAATAATCATTATTATTATTGTGTGGTTGCGGTTCCATGAATTCATTCTTTTTTTTTTGTGTGCCGTTCCTTTTTTTTTTTTTTTTTTTTTTTTTTTTTTTTTTTTTTTTTTTTGTCGATGATATTCATGACCTATTCGACGCTTGAATCTTTGCTCACATTGTAATTTTGTATGATCAATGTTCTTAGACGGTTGAGTTTTTGTTATTTTCAGGCCCAATTCAAGCAACTTGAAAGTGTTCAATGAGCATTGCCCACATGCTGCTCTGTGGTATGTTTTCTCTCTCGGGCTGATTGGTAAATGTTTTTAGAGATATAAGGAAAAGACAATTTTTTTAAAATTTTCAATCGTCATGATTTGTACTTAGTTATACCTGTTCTTTGATGAGAATTACCTTATGACCCACAACTACCAACCTCATCAGTCATCATCCTTCTCAGCCTGCTCCTCTCTAATTTAATCAACACATGTATACACAATTGTAGGTAACTTCGATTGAGGGATCTTAAAATAAGTTTATTTTAGGGATATTTTTGTATGGTTTACTTGGCATTGTATTTCAATATTCCGACTGTCAAAGTTTAAATAAGTTTATTTTAGAAATATTATTGTATCGCTTACTTGACATTGTATTTCAATGATCCGACTGTCAAAGTTTTTCCCTACAAAAACCGACCTAAATCAGAAACCACTAACCACTCAATCATCGTCATATTATTTCTTGCAAAGATTATCTTTGAATACAAATGAACAATTTTGAATTGTTGAAGTACAAATGCGAAGTGGACTCCATAAGGTAAGTAACTTTAGGGATGCTTCAATAAAAAGGCTGCTCTGCATGTTCATTTTCTTGACAAATGATTGATTCTCACCAGCCTGTTGCAGCTTGATGAAACTGGGAAAATGACAAATTCACTCTCACTTGGACTGGACCTTGAATAAACTTTCTCATTTGCCACCAGGTTGGTGGTAGGATAAGCAATAATGTGAATAGTTATCTATATATATATATATATATATTTTTTTTTATAGCTAATGCTTTAGGATAGTTTTCTTTAACATCCTTAGGATAAGCATCTCCCATACACTAAGCCACTCCTCATCTACATCCTTTAAATTGTCACAAGCTGGCCTCAGATTTTTATTGTCCTCTATCATAGTGAACTGTCATTTCATCTTAAAGGGTTGTCTGAGACGTTTAGATTTCCAAAGATTGCTTAAATAATTGTTTGGACTTTTTTGTTTGTTTTCTTGACATTTCATAGATCAGGAAAATGATTTGGCATTGGTACTTGTCAGCCTCGTAGGAAGGTAGCTTTTAGAGTTTGGACTTTGTCTAATAGGTTCAGCTTTGCAGCACATCCCCTCAACCACCTCGGCTGATTCTGCTCGATTTGCTTTGGTTTCAACTTCTTCTTTTACACTGAGGTTCTGAAATTTTGTTTTTGAAGGACGGTGGCTTTACAGTATCAAGACTCATGTCCTTCCCTTCAGATATTTATCTATTTCCCTCAACGTATTTTCAGGATTCTCTGCTATTTGTGATAATTCTTAAAATAATGAAAAAACGACATTACTTAGTGGAAAACAAACGTCTGCTGTTGGCACATTATTGATCAGAGCCCTTGTACTATTTCTCTTGATTTTCTTAGCCTCTTTTTGATGGATTTATAATTTTGTCTTTTCCCAAATGGCAATTTCCTTAGGCTAGTAGTATTTGGTGTGATTCTCACGATTGTCAGTAAAAATTAACTCTGTACAATCGATGTGCACATGACATTATTCTTACAGTGACTTGTTGTTCGATTAGTCTATTGTTGTTGTTGTGATCAACTATTCCTTTTAGAGGTTGATGGTTTTTTTCTTTCATACATTACATAAAATGCTTGTGGTCAGTGTTCTAGGTGTTCTTTTGATTCTTTTTTTCGAACCATACTTTGCTTTTGAGTTATAGAATTATTCATAAAAGTTGCCAGGCTTATCCTGCATTTTCATATAGAAGAATCATTTGCATATTTAAATTAGGGAAATGCTTAAGAATAATCAGCACACACCCGCAGACAACCATCAACCATTAGTGTGTGTAAGCTTCCTAGTGGATCTACAAGCATCTTTGGTTGACAATTACTGGTCCGCATTATGTATGTGCGTAGATTGTCACTGATTTTAACCTAAACTACAAAATATGAGAAAAAACCTAAACCCAAACATCTTTCCTTGAGTGATTTGCACATAAATCGGGAAATAGGAAGGGAGGATTCTGAAGATGGGATAAGTTATCTCCCCTCACACTATGCGATTATATGTTAGTCACTTGAAAGAATAATTTTTAGTCATATGTCACATGTTTCTTTAAAGAGAACCATAATTCTTTCCGCTAGCATTGGGACAAGCTTGAAAGACACTTTACTTTAACCTAGAGCTTAAGAGACGCCAAATATTTGACCTGAAAAACCAAGGGATCCCAATTACGACTTATTAGGCCTAGAAATAAATTCCAAGGATGGGAAACGTTAACTGTTGCTTTTGGACCTTGGTGACAGAAACTAGATGGACAAAACAAAATGCTGTAGGTGGATAACATAGGTGCCCTGTTCTCTGACAAAGATATCACCCTAATTTTACATTAGGATATTCATTATTGCATTCCCAAAGTCCCAATGTTCATCAAAGCTGCAGACCCCATCACCCCCACGGTCCAAAAAGGACAATCGGTCAAACAGAAACAGAGCACTAGATAAAGTAAGACTGACAATAAAAATATTAAATAAGAACATATAAAATTCCTGCAATCATATATTACTTTTTATCTGTTCCAATTTTTTCTTTTTTCTTTTTGTAACCAATTAAAAAAAATACAAACTCCAAAAACTAAACCAAACTGTATCTCACAAACAGAACTAGCTTTTCCATTTCCATTTTCCATTTTGTTCCCCTCACTTTTCTCTGCTCATAGTCTCTGGCTGCTAAGAAGTCTAATATTTAACAGCTGGAGAGGTTTTCTCCATGCCAAAAGCATGGCACATATTGTTTCCATCCTCCATCCTCCATCCTCCATCCATGATCTAACTTATTCCATTCCTCTCCCATCATTGTACTTTTCCAACCTTTTTTTTTCAATTTTTTTTTCCTTTGATCAACTTCATCAAACACACCAATCTACTTATGTAACAAAAATCAAAATAATTTAGCTTCTATAACTCCACCTCACAGGCTCTGTTTAGCTTCCTTCTTTTAGAATCAGAGCTATTGTGGAAGGAATTTGCACATGACCCAACTGTGCTCTCTTCACTTTTATAGCTGAAGCATGCAACATCCAAGACCCCAATTGGACTCTGGGGCACAGACTGGGCAGAGCCACTAGCATCCTTAAAGGCCCCACTCATTAAAGACATATCATGAATCAAATTTACACACTTTACCACTCTCTCCTGCAAAAACCAAAATAAAAACAAAAAAAATTCAGTATGGCATGTCTTTTAGGGCAATCATATTTGTATATTCGTATTTGTTTGTAATTGTAATCAGCTCAAAATGATATGAGCAAAAGCTTAAAAAAAAACCATCATTTATGTCTCCCTTTGGGGACTTGGACCACCAACCATATACCTTTACTAAGTCTACACGTTGAATGAGCATAGAGATTGCTTTCTCAGTGTCTAATGTTTTGGCTTCTCCTGCAACAGAAATTGCTACTGCTGCTGCAACCTCTGATGGCCTGAATTCCAAGAAGTCAATTCCTGCATTCAATTCCCACCCACCACAAACATCAGCCCCTCTTTCATAATACTGGTGCAATTGCAGAAAGAAATTATAACATATAGCAGAAAATGCAGTACCTTTAGCAGTGGTCAAAATGAGTTGGAATGATCTCAAGATTGAAGCTCTGAGAGGGATTTGATCCTCATTGATCTGGAGAAGGAAAGAATCTATGAAGGAGAAAGGGGTAACTGCTTGCATTCTCCATCTTAATGTGCTCAAAACCAGAAGCTCCATCCTTTGAATTGTTCTTGCCTCAAATACAAATTTTGACTCTGCCACCTGTTTGATTGAATGAAAACCCAAATCTTTAGGATAATTAAGATCATCTAAAACAGAAAAATCAAGAAAGATCAAACAAAGAAAACTTGACAACAGAGGATGCAAATGAGTTTCTCTGACCTGTAAATCTAGAGAGAGAGGAACATCAATCTCCTCCATTTTGGCTGCAAGAGACAAGCAAGCCACAGCCAACAATTGCATAGTCCAAGCTTTGCCATTCTTCACATAGAATGCAGAAAGAATAGATGCAATCAGCAATGGACTTGGATGCAATAAAAAAGACAATGTGTAAGAAGCACGGGTAGGTACTATAAGTCCTGCTTGATTTTTTCCTTCAGACTTACAGGTAATTCATAGGCAGAAAGGAAGCGATCCAAGTAGTTTATGGATAGATATTGGCAGAGAGGTCCAAAACTGAAATGGGCATTTGCCTGTTGAAACCAAAAACAATGTTAGCAATAATCATTAACTTAATCAACCCAACAAAAATATAATCAAACTTTTCCCCTCCTTTTCTGGCTTGGTCCTTGGCATGTACATCTAAGAACAGGGTAAAGGGTAAAATTCCAATTTCTGTTTTGGATTTGGCCCAAAAGCAAAACAGAAAAAGATTCCCCACCAAGCCAAACTAAGAATTATTGGGATACAATGAGATGTCCAAATGAAAGACAACCAGAACCATGTTCATCCAAAACCCAAACATAAAAATTTACCCCAAAAAAACATGAAACTTAAGGTTCACTTGCAAAAATCCAGCACCCTTATTTCTTTGAACCCAAAAACAATTGAAAAGAAAAGCTCTTTCTGATTGGAGAATAATACCCATCTCATAAAACTTACCATCAAATGAAAAGAACCCCCAAAAAAAAATTCCAAAAAGAAGAACACACTGAGACTAAAGAACCTACCTTTCCAATCCAATCAACAGCCTGTTTTCTAGCACCCAGGTCCAAGTCTCCATTTTGCAACCTCATCAAGTAATCAGAACCAGGCAAGTGGTGGCATTCCTTTTCTACAATTGAAGCCAAATACTCATCACTCTGGAATGGCAGTCCACCCTCATCATCAAAGCCACGATTTTGATCATAGTTTCGATGATTTCTAAGAGGCCACATAGCCTCCTCAAACTCCTCCTCCAATCTCACAGACCCAAAATCGTTATCATCGAAAATGTTGTCTTCTGCGCAAAGCAGGCTTGAAACCGTACAGTCAAAACTGGGTGCCATTGCAACAACAACAACAATAATCTCTCCAAAACGGACACAAACTCTCTTTATCTCTCTCTCTCTCTCTCTCTCTCTCTGGATACCAAAATTTCATCAACTATGAAACAAAAGTTATTAAAGACAGATACTTTGGTTTTTGTTTTATATATGCAGTGTTTTTGTTGAGTGTTTTCAGATAATGGGGATGAAGAAGATGATATTTTCAATCAAAGAATAGAAGAACAATAAATATGATGGAAGGAAATAAAACCCAATAAAATGAATAGCGTATTGAAGTGAAGCTGAGACCTTCTCACTCCCTCTCTGTCTCTCTCTCAATGTTTGCTGAAAAGACTGCCGCTTGAGAGGAGCTTATGAAGGAAATGAATGGCTCTTTTTAGGGTAAAGTGAGAGAGAGAGAGAGAGAGAGAGAGAGAGAGAGCACCAATAGGGAGATTGAGAAAATATACACAGCTGGAGACCAGAAGGGTAATTGCCAGATTTTGTGTGTGTGTGTGTGAGAGAGAGAGAGAGAGAGATGTGACTGTCTAGGAGTGAAATGTCATAAGGGTGTGCATGGCAAGAAGATTTACTAGAATTTTAATTTTGGATATTTTCTATGACAATAATAAATCGATTAATAAATTCGCTTAACTACCATATGCTAATGCTACCCACCTTGTTATTTTCCGTGTAAACAATAAATCAGATTATTCAAATTTTATTCTCTTTAAATGTGAATCAGTTGGTTCATGTAAATGAAATCAATCAATCATATCCATTCCAAGACCAAGAAAAAGTAGTGACAAAGGACTCAAAACCATGTGATAGAAGAATCAAATTGCATAATCAAAAGTTTGACCATTTGCATCAAAATATTGTTTTTGTTATTTAGATTTGTCATATTGAGCATATCTAAACCACATATAGCTTTTCTAAATTTCCTTTATATATATTTTTTATTTATAAAATTATCTTGGTTGTATTAGTTTTGTAATACTTGTTTGGTACGTAACGTTCTTTTACTGGCCAGAGTGGCATAATAAGATATTCGTATTATCATATTGTGAATTTAGACTAAATTTGATATAAGAGAAACCTAATTAATAGTCAAAATTCAACATATCCATTTTATGCTATATGACGAGAAGAATTATGTCTGTTTAGTTATTCATACATGTTTGGTTCTCTCTTTTCTTTAATTATAAAATTTCCTATCCCAAAAAAGAATTGCTGAATTCCCCAAAAAGACACAAATAAAAGGACATTTTCGGGCTAGTAATATGGTTCAAACTAGGAGGGTAAAAGTGTAAATGTGAATAATGAAGAGGGAGCGTTGGAGTATGAGGCTGTCTTTTTGCTCCCATGCTGACGCGTGTTACGTGTACAAGCAGCCGATGACTGTAAGCATCCGCTTCTGAAATTGGATCGTCTTTGGCCTTTCTCATGTCATGCGTGCTCTTCTGAAAAGAAAGTATTTCCTTGACATACGTTTTCTGAAATTCAACTGTTTATTTTTACCTTTCATCTAGTTGCTACATCTTTTTTTCTTTTTTCTTTTTTACTTGTTAAATAGTTGCCACATCTTAGACCTCTTGGCTAGGACGATATTGAATTCTAAAACTTCTGTAATTAAAGGGGGAAGAAACCACATTCGCCAACACTGTGAGATGTGTTTTGAATCAAGTTACTTTTGCATCTTTTAAAGCATTTGTAGATGCTTACTTGTAAAACGTTAAAAGTCGTTATGGATTGTTAGTAGAGGCATCATACATGATACACGTTTAAATTTCTTTATCAAAATTTGTAATTCTTTTATTGTTTTATAGTAACAAAATGTGTGTAAACTTAAAATGGTAACGATATAAACTGCTTTAATTTTATCGAAATTGTCTCAGTTTTAAATTTACTCAAATCAGACTTTCTATATATTCTACAACAACTCATTTTTTATATAAGTTATGCTCTAGATACAAAGAATAAGGTTGTAAGTTGTAACTTAACGAGACAATATAATACCATTCAAAGGGTAATCATGATTTCGCGTAAATTTATAAGTGATGATAGGCTTGGTAATATGTGGTGCTTTATTGTGTTTGTGTCGTATTATATTCGTATAGTGTGAATTTATTCTATAATGAACACAAAAATGTGGCCTTGTGTTTACCCATTTTACCTATCAAGAGTAAAGAGAGATACAAACATCTTCATGTCAATAGTGTTAAATGAATGAACAATGAATCGATTTATTAAGAAATATTCATTATTGTGTCAAACTGTTTGGGATTCGACCCCAACACTTAATTCTTCATACGTGTTCATGTCGTGTTATTGTTCATGCATGATTTTTAGCAATGCTACCCAACTTACTCTTACCTATTTGGTGGCTCGCATTCTAGCACCGGAAAGGCAACAAGCTAAGCCAAATTTGCAATCAGAATAGTAGCTAATGACTGATACGTAGTTTAGGGAGAGGTAATAAATTGTCGCAAGTATTTGATTCATGAAAGGGAGATTGAAATTAATTGAATAATTTATTAGCATTTGAGAAGTAACTAGATATTGCAAGTTGAATTTAAGCATATTTCTATGTATGCTTGAAAGTTAATGAGAAGAACATTTTGGAATAATATTTCAGCTTAGTTACTCTAGTGTCCTTTCAAAGATGTCATGAATCTCATTTTGCCTCCTAAAAGTCATTTTTAATCAACTTGCCATATAAATTTACTTTTTGTGTCCTACTTTAATTCAACCGTCAAACATGTTAAATTTTTCATCCAAGATAAGTGTATGATTCTTTTTTAATGTGGTTAACTATTGAGAATATGTCATCAATCAACTACATTGAAAATTATAAAATCAAAATATCAATAATATCGATAACATATTGACAATATATCGATGACGTAAATCCATTACATAAAATATATTGTACATATGCATAGTAGTATGAGCACGGTTACAAATCGAACCCGAGACTTTCTTAAATTTCCTCTGTATTTTATCTTAAAAAAATAGTTAGACGCTCTCGAAGTTGCTTAATATTTTATGTAATTATCATTTATTATGAAGTACGAAGTTTAACATAAACATTGGCACTAGCACTAGAATAAGATAGAATGTCACACCACAAAATATAATATATAGTGTCAAACCCTGGTTTTTATTTTTTATTTTTTAATTTGGGTCGAAACGCAATTCTGCAAAACAAACTTAACTAATTAATTATTCAATTCTTTTTTCTAAAAATTCCAAAGAAGCATTGTATATATCATATTAATTAAGCCTAGAAAGAATTAGAGATGCTTAAATCTTAATTAAGGAAGAAAATCACATATATATTCACACTTATAAATTAGCATAAAATGTGCAAATAGTAACATCCATGTATTTCCTATTACCTTTTTAACCGCGTGCATCTCATGGCCATACCACCAAAAGCTATGTTAGGAAAAAAAATTCAAAAAAAATTAGGGTTTGTCTTTTTATTGACCAAAAATTCTCAAAAAGAGATGCACTTTTGCTTTTTATTTATTTATTTATTTTCACTTTTAGGCATGTTGGAATGTGTGAAATTGGGGATTTATATGTAAAGTACAAAATTTCCATAACATTCAGCAATAATGACTGTTAGTCTTGTAGATTAGGACACTTAATCACAAAGCATAATGACAGATTTAGATAACAGCTCTTATAAGCAAGCAACGAGTCTAAAAGAGAGCCTATGAATGCTAATTGTAAACCTTGACTTGCTAAGTTAACCCCTCTCCCCCCTCAGTCAATATAACATTATATCTTTCTCCTTGAGAATGCTGTTGATGATTATTTACTTAGTTTAAAATTCTGGGGGGACAAAAATCATGGAAATTTTCAACTTTAGGGTTACAAAAGCTGGTCCATTTCCTATGGTCCTTCTCTCAGATGCTTCTCGACTATGCCTTGCTATTGATTTTGTGCAGAATGGATGGTTTTGGTCACTGCAGCAGAGTTGAAACTTGAAATTCAAGCTTTCTTTCTTTCTTCTTTTTTTCCTGGTTTTTTTCTGTTTGTTTTTCAGGTGGGAATCAGAGTATTGTTTATTACAAGTCATTGATTAAATTGATGGGACTTAGTGTTACTAATTCAGCTTAAGAATTATATAATCAGATTTCAGTCAAAATATTTGTACTTGGATGAAATTTTTTTCAACCATTTGATTCCTTAAGACAGGATTAGGACACTTAATAGTGACAAATTTGTGAGATGTAAGTCCATAAAATTATTATTTCATGACTTGCAAAATTAATAGTTCTTAAATGGGTTCCTATTTGTTTGATTACTTTGACCATGACCTGCAAACACACTGGTAAAAAAAAATAAAAAATAAAAAAATTTAAATGTTTTTGGACCACATATTAGAGTAACTATGTTTTTAACCTTGGATGCTTGTTCCTTGGATTCAATATTAAGGCATGCTTATATATTCTAGAACCAAAAGAGACTTTAAGGGACACAAATTTCTAACCCTTTTGCCCCCCTTCTGCCTTCTTTCAAATGCTCTTTTTCCACTCTTTAGAATTCACCTTTTTCCTCTTTTTTTTTTAAACAAAAAACAAAAAACAAAAAAACCAAAACCCTAATATTAAACTCTTTGTCTATGTCAGATCCTGTGCTAATTTCAAAAACCATAGCCCTCTTTATTTCAATAAAAGATGAGGCCCCCTCCTCCTCTAAAGACTTTTCCTTTTGGTATATGAATCTTAAAGAGAGTCTTCTTGTTTGAGATCTGAGCTATACAGAGTGTCATGCAAACCCACTACACATTTTTTTAACTCATCCATTGCTACTCTCTTTTTTACTGCTAAATTTCAATGACCAATGCTGAGCCATATGACTACATTTAACACTTGATGCAAGGGAAATCCAATGTCTGATTTGCTCACCCCCTAATATCGTTTGTATTAACGCTTGATGCAAAGAGTTTGTAGCTCAAGTGGTTAACAACATTTATCCATGCACTGGAAATCTTATGTCTGATTTCCCCACTCCCAATATCGCTTGCATTAAATAAAATATACAAAATTCACCACCTCATTGCACTATTTGATATTTAATGACGTTTATAATTCTTTTAACTCAAGCATGCATGGAAAAACAATTCATGGGAAGGATAGAGATAGGGTTATTATTATAATCAATTTTCATGATCTTTGTCTTTAACTTGAATTTCTCCATAAACAAAGTGTTCATTTGGATCACGCTTGCATTGTAATTGACTAATTAAGCATCCATCAGCTGCATCTAATTGGCTAAAACTTTGATTAAAATTTGCATTCACAATAGACCTAAAGTGCTTGAGCTATTAAACTCAAACCTAAGTCCTTGAGATTCACCACTTCATTGATTAATTTAACTTACAAGTTACATCCTTTGACTGCCAAAGTCATAAATTAAGCTAAATATTTGGTTAATTATAATTTTAAGAACAAAACAAATGAAATAAAAATAAGAACTAAATATTCTAAGCATGTGCAGCAGCAGCGGCAACGCCGTGGTCCGCCATCTACAGAATCCAGAACATCCGCCGCGTCTTCCGTGTCTCCACGACAAGCCTTAGAGCCATCGATCAAAAATAAAGGCTCCACGTGGCACAAGATTGGGGTCCACACGTCCTCCCTTTTCGTGCCTCTCGTGCAATTTTATATGAACACCATGTCCTTGTGAATTTTTAATTTGGTCTCCCATTAGCAATAACATTCTTATTATAGACGATAAATTCTTTTCTAACGCAGATTGAGCTGGCAAGCAAAGCAAACCCACCTGTCTTAGCATTCTACCTTCATTTTGTTAAGCTATCTTGAAGCTTTGTCTTTTATCTAACTTATTATAGAATTCATATGGCTATATAGATTCTATTTTAAGAAAATACTAAAATCTATGCTATCCTCAGTCGTTTATATATATGTTTACGATTTATTAACATATATCAATGTAGAATTCACATTTGATGAATTATTAGAATGTAATTTTTGACCAAAGAATTAGTTGATTAAAATGTAACTATTCATCTAAACTTATTAATATATCGTGGTTTTGATTCTTGGATCGCATTGAAAATATTTGACTTACTTAAATAAGATCAAATAATTCAAATATAAATTTGAATTAGCATTTTTAGAGGTGACTTCATATCGTTACAGTTAACTAACAAATCAACAGCTATATCACGTGATCAACTAACATGGTCATAAAAATGACGGTTTCTAAGCTGCAAAACTTATGTGAGTATTCTTCCAATGCTTACTGTGCGTTGGGGATTCTGTGTGTGTTTTGTAGGTTGGGACCATATGGTTGGGAGAAGGGAGGTACATTTCTCATGTCATGTCCTTAATTAATGGATTAAATAAAGTATTAAATTGGGAATCCCAGTCCATGATTCATCTCATGTTTAGTCAAATGCACTCTCAATGTCTCACTGTGGAGATGCCAAACTCCATTTAACAAAATGCCATAGCAACCAACAAAACCTCGCAATTCGCATTGAGATGGAGGAGGACCTCTTTCTTATTTGTGCTCCTCCTAGGACCATTTCTAATCACACTTGTTTATTCAGCCATGTTTTTGTTTCATTTGTCATCACATAATTCCATTTTTAATAATATCTATATGTGACTTCATGTCTTTTGTTTATTAACTACAAGTTGTCTTTCCACTTCAAGTTGTCATAGGAGGGAAATTTTTTATATATATAATGGGGGATAACACTGTTTTGTTATCCTCTGCTAATAACACAATGACACATAAAAAAATTATTCTATGTATCATTGCGTTATTAACCAAAAATAACATTTTTGATATCTCGTTGCATGAGAGTTTTCCTCCATAAGAGGAGTTGCGACTTGACGAGTAATAAAAGAGAAGGTGCTTGACCAAAAAATAAAAGAAAGGAGAAGGTTGGGAACCGAGAATAATGTATTGGATGGAGTAGATCCTAGAATTCATGATACTTTTGATGGGCCTCCAGAAAACTGCAACACAAGATGGCCCAACCCAACCTCTTAATGCTTAGGCTTTTGTATAAGCCCATATCTTGTGAGGGTGGCTGTAATAAAGGCCGAAATATGAAAACGGTAAATTATACCAATGTAATGCAACATGGACACTAAATTTTGTTGTAATGTCTGAACTATAACGTTACGAAGAATGAAGCCCTTAGGGCGCAAGAAGGTCCGAAGAGGTCAAAGTAGAAGGGAGAAACAACGTATAAAGGAAGAACATTCTCCCACAAGTAGGAGGAAGGAATTTCATGCCCAAGTTCGCTAAGGCGTCAACTACAAGTTTAGCTTCCCTAAAAACATGCTGAAAAATGACAGCCTCAACAGTACTCAAAAGGCATATATCTTGAACAATTTTAAATATGTCAAGGAACCGTAACTTTCTTAAGAATGCAGTCAATAATCAACTTGGAGTCACTTTCAACCACAAGCTTCTTCTAGTTACGGTTAAGGGCATTGGCAAGTGTTAGGAACCTTCATCATTGCTGAGCTGAATTAGTGATGAGCTGGCAGAGTCTGTTTGTTACTTATTTAGTTAAGAAGTTAGTTTCTAACCGAATTGGTTAAGAAGAGCTTTATAGCTATATTAGGCAATGATTGTATCAAGAATGGCATGTTGAGAATATTTTATTGTTTCGATAATTCAATAAAGAATACTTGTTACTCTGTGTAATTCTAGGGTTAAGGTTGAAAGGGGTTCAACATTTGGTATCAGACCAGTGCGAATCCTTGTTCCCTTCTCTTTGTGACCAGGGCAACCCAAGACTATGGACAACTGTATCTCTACGCTTGAGGTCGCCATGGATTCTCGTATCTCTAAGCTGGAGGCCACCATGGATGCTTTCATGCGTGCTTTTGATTAGAAATTTAGTCAATTGGATACCAATTATGATCAACGGTTTGATCAATTTCGTCGTGATATTTCGACTTGTAGTGATCACGACGTCTCTGGTGACAGTAATCACGAGCCGCATCCTGATTCTGTTTTCCCGTTGCAGCGTCCGCCATTGATGAAAATGGAGTTTCCTAGGTTTTGTGATGGTGATGATCCCCTTGGGTGGATTTACAGAGCAAAACACTACTTTGATTATTTCTATGTTCCTGATGCTCAGAAAGTCAAGCTTACTTCCTTTCACATGGAACGTTAAGCTTTACAATGGTTTCAATGGCTGGACTGTATTCATCGATATCCACAGTGGGAGGATTTTACCAAGGCATTATGCCAAGAATTCGGGTCTTCCGATTTGGAAGACTGTGCTAAATCTCTTCTCAAGCTGAAGCAAACTGGGTCTCTATGAGATTATATCTTAGAATTCCATCGTCTTGCTAGTTGCACTCGCGATATGAATCCATCTATTCTTCGCAGTTACTTCATTGATGGTCTAAAGAAGGAATTGCGCCATGATGTCAAGCTATTACGACCTACTTCGGTTCAAGATGCTTGTGCTCTTGCTTTACAATTCAATGCTAAGTTTCTTGATTTAAAGCCTACTGTTCCTTTTCGTCATACTCCTCCAATTTCTGTCCATTCTTTTCAACCCAAAATGGAATTGCCTGTCAAGAAGCTTACCCCATATGAAATTCAATTTCGTCGGCAACGAAATTTGTGTTTCCACTGTGATGAAAAGTACACTAGAGGCCATGTCTGTTCTAAGAAACAATTACTTCTTATTGATGTTGATTTTGATGCTCCTGCTTTGGAAGATGCCGATGAAGAGGTTGACCAAGTACTTCACTAGGTTGAGGTCACTGCTTGTGCTTTATTTGGTACACCAGCTCCCCGATCTATTAAAACCATGAAGGTACGAGGTTTTATTAAGCGTTGCCCTGTGATAATTCTGTTAGATTCTGGCAGTTCCCATAATTTCATTGATGCTACTTTCGTCAAGCTATTGGGTTGGCACCTCGATCCTTTTAACGTATTTGATGTGATGATCGCGAATGGGGGAAAATTGTCTAGTAAAGGGTGTTGCCCTAATGTTTCTCTTAAGATTCAAGAATGTGCATACACCACAGATTTATTTGCCATTCCTTTTGGTGGGTGTGATGTGGTCTTAGGTGCTCAAAAGCTCATTACTCTTGGTCCGATCTTATGGGATTTCAAGAATCATCGAATGGAGTTCACTGTGGGAGACCAAAGTTTTTGTCTTTCCAATACTAAGCCTCAGACGAATGATGGCGAATAGATTTCGAGTTTTCAAATGGCTCAATTATTGCAACAGGGCCATTGTGGAGTGGTTCTCCAGTTGTTACAATCAACAATTCCTGCTGAGTCTATTGAGAGCCAGCTTCTATCTGCAGATCAACAATCTGCATTGCAAGCTGTCTTGTCCCCTTTTGATACAGTTTTTCAAACATTGAGTATTTTGTCTCATTCTCGATTTCAATACCATCGTATTCCATTGATTGAAGGTAGTAAGCCCCATAGCATAAGGCCTTACAGATATGAGCCTTTCCAAAAATAGAGATTGGAAAATGTGTCAAGGACAAGGATTTGTTCGCAAGGTTTCCTGATTTCCATATTTGAGGACAAGGATTTGTTCGCAAGGTTTCCTGATTTCCATCTTTGAGGACAAGGATGTTTTGCAGAGTAGGGTGATGTTAGGAACCTTCATCATTGCTGAGCTGGATTAGTGATGAGCTGGCATAGTAAGCTTGTTAATTGTTTAGTTAAGAAGTTAGTTTCTAACCGAATTGGTTAAGAAGAGCTTTACAGCTATATTAGGCAATGATTGTATCAAGAACGGCATGTTAAGAATATTGTAATGTTTTGATAATTTAATAAAGAATACTTGTTACTCTGTGTAATTCTAGGGTTAAGGTTGAAAGGGGTTTAACATCAAGACTATCTCTCAGAATTATGCCCTCGGCTAAAATGATTGTCGAATCTCCAAGCTTATTAGCATCGACAAGTAACACATGACCATCATAGTTTCTTGTCACAAAGTTAGTGTTATCTTGATTTTGACCTAGTCGGGTCATGCTAGGGAGATCACATTTTATATATCACCTTGTGTACCACCTTTTTAATATAGGTGGAGGCCACCAATATAATGAGTCTCATTAGTGGCGGAGTCAGGATTTTACATTAGAGGGGACCCTTCACAAAATTTTAAAAACTAATTAGAGGGTTCTCGTTTTATTCAGTGGCTCAAGAGCTAATTGGTTAATTAGCTAATACTACATTAACTACTTGTTTTGGTTCACCTCATACTATCATTTTATATTAATTAATAATATCTCCATTCAGTATAACCATATAATTGTTTTGAATTTCAAATTTTAAAATGGTTAAAGATTAATCTCATCATCTACACTATTTCGACTCAAAAGAAATACAAAAAAATTTCATAAATCCCAAAGTTAAATAAAGAGGAAGAGAAAGATTTTTAAACATCACGAGAAAAAACAAGCTACAAGGCAAAGAAACCAATGCAAAAGCCCAAAAGTCAACAAGAACTAAAAGCTACAGTGCGAATTAGATCACCCAAAGAAATCAAATGACCCAAAACACCCAATTCATGTATACATATATATATACATACAAAAGTACACATTTGGAAAAAACTGAGAGGGGCGTGGGTCCACCCTGATCCTTAGATGGCTCCGCCACTAAGTCTCACATCTATTAGAGAGGTGGTGCACAATTTAGTATATAACCGTGGTCTCCATAGCATAACCCTTATTATAAGTTACAATTGAAAATTATTTGATTAAAATTACGAAAAAACTTATTTGAAAAGGAAGTATATTTGTTTTATTTTGTTGTTGCACTTGGAAGTTGGAAAACCTGCATTTTTTTTTGGATGGAATCAGGCTAATTTGTAATTCATTAGATTTATTTGGTTTTTTATTCTATTTTACAGACATTTGGATAGAAACTTGGGGTTTGGATATGGATATTTAGCTTCGTTTTTTTTTCTCTTCCACAAAAAAATAAAATAAAATAAACCTCTTTTAAATTACCAGTCGGACATTGTTAGAGCATTTTCACCCATGGTATTTTGTCATGGCAAAAAGCCCCCTGGACTTAAAAAACCTCTCCACCAATGCATTCTAATCCCGGTAGGACATGGGCTCCACCAAGACTGGACAAGCCATAAGGTAAGATCATCTCGAAAAGAGATTTTTTATATAAAAAAAAATCTGAAAAAAAATTCATAATTTTTTTTATACATGCCTAACAATTTTTTTTGTTATTAATCTCATATATATAAATAAAATCAATCCCATATGAATAATAATTATCCTTGGATTTCCATGGCACCGGATGGAAAAGCACAAAAGAATTACTAGGGCATGCACTATTAACATAAATAGTAACTATCCTTACCTCCTCTTGCCTTTTACCATGACGAATAGGTGGAAGTGCTCTTCTGCTTGGCCCAATAGAAATTCAACCAAGAAGGAGAATTGCTTGGCTGATGTGATTATGTTATCCCGGGTGAGAGCATCAAGTAAAGCATCCCAAACAGGCTTAATGATGACGCGTAACAGAAATATGATAATTACACACCAACTGCTTCTCCCAAATGGCTTCAACACTCTCCTGCAGAGCCAAAGCCATACGCGCCCTATCCTCCCCCACCACAATACGACGTCGTCTGCCCCTGGTGGGAGCATTCTGCGTGCTCAGCTTGGGCATCTCCAACCTCTTTCCTGCTCTTTCCTTCTCCGCGTTCAAAACGGGCTCTGCACAGTCTCTCGCTCTTCTCTTGAGGTACAACGCCACCAGCCTTCTTCACCTTGTTCTTTCTCTGATTTCAAAAGGTTTTTTTTTTCTTTCTGTGATTTCATTATTTATTGTTTAATCAGAATTTGTGTTGAATTGTGGGTTTTTTAGATCAAGGTTTGGTAGCCAAGCAGCGGCTGTTCACTCTGCGAAAATGGAAGGGAGTAGCACCACTGTACCAAGTATTGTTGTTTATGTGACTGTGCCTAACAAAGAAGCAGGTTGGTGTTTTATGAATACTGGGTTTTCTTTATTTTTCTTTTTGGTTTGTTATCCCTTTGAGAAAGTTATGTGATTGATCGTTATATGGTACTAACTCTTGAGTAAAAAGGATGGGTATGGTTGAATTGTTGTGCAAAGCAAAGTTATGAGGACTTGAGAGTAGTATGCATGATAAATTATTCTATGAGCATTCTCTAACAAATAGGTGAGCTAAATGGCATTTCTAATGATTGGATATTTGCAAATTTGGGGAAAATGGGACAATATCTGCCGCAGGAGGCACAAACAACTGGAGGCACAAAGTGTCATTCAGTAATTTAGTCCTTCACTAGCTGAGAACTTTATACATCCCATTTCAAGTCATCCTGCTAGCTTTGCGTTGTATGAATTTAGGCCAGAAAAGTTAAACATGGACATATTGTAATGCTTACAAGCAACAAGCACTTAGAGACGTGGAATGTTCTTGTGTTTGAACTTTGTTTTTCCAGAGAGGGTTCTGTAATTAGATTTATGAATAAAGTATTCTTATTCGTTTTCATATCTTGTGATATATTTAGTTGAGACTCCAATAATAACAACACATATGGGCTTACAATAGCCTATGTTTGCACCGTACTCGATCAATATTATGAGTTGCACTATTTGCTCATAACTTCTAAACTGCATAACTATTGAGTTTTTTTTTTTTTACCATTTGGAAAACTGAAGTTGAAACTGCTTTATTTATTATTTACGACATACTATCTTTGTGCAGGAAAGAAGTTAGCTGAAAGCTTGGTCAGAGAAAAACTTGCAGCATGTGTTAACCGAGTACCAGGTATGCGCTTCATCTTAATCCTTTCATTATGCTTGTATATTGCGTGGGCTGCTAAGTTCACAGTTGCTTGTTCCCATGATATTACCGAACTTTTTTGTTAAATAGCAAAACTCAACCAGAAAGTACTGAACACATTTTCCACAACTTCATATTTTCTTATGTATGAATAAGTTTTCAGGTCATCACCAACCATCTGACTAGGAACTTCCCTGAAGTTTTGGATCATTTAAGTTGTCCAGATTTTTGCAGCCTGTCAACAGAACGTTGTTCTTATGTCTTACTGAAGTGTTGCAATCTAATCTTTCTAGTAGTCATCTAAAACATGGTTGTGGCCCGTACTTCTTACTGAGATTTGTACCTTATTTATTACTCTTTTTTTCTAGTGTTCAGCTTGGCATATATTACTAGTAGACCATGGACTATGTACTGCTTAACATAAACTGTATCTACTTTGAACTACTATTTGCTTCTTCTTAAAATAGAAATATGTATAATAAGAAAAAGAGTTTTTACGTCCTCCCTTCCATTGATATTGTGCTTTAATCTTCAATTGACAATTGAACATTTGAATTTTCTTATTAATATTATTGCATACAACTTGCATCAAGCTTTTAGTTTCTTGTCTGATTCATGATAAACTCTGTGAATGCAGGCATTGAGTCCGTCTATCAGTGGAATGGAGAGGTATGGATCACATTCCCCAAGATATCCTGGATTATCACATGATCATAGAGAAGGGTGCATAGAAACCCTTATAACCCTTGCCATTTGGATTATTTACATGTTATTTTGTTGCATTGACATTTGTATATTTGCACAATTCATGAGATATGAAAATATATTGTACTGATTTCACTTTTTAATATCGGTTGATAGGTCCAGACAGATTCCGAGGAACTTCTTATAATCAAGACTAGGCAATCCCTTTTTGAAGCTCTGACAGAGCATGTGAAGGCAAACCATCCATATGAGTAAGCCCAAAGCTTCTTCAGTATAAATTTGACATAACTGATGTACTTTGCTTTTTGGTGAACTTTGCTGTATCAAACTAGTTGCAAGCTGAAAATGCCAAACAAATAGAAAATGTGGTGGCCACAGTACTCTACGGAATTAATACACAAGATCATATGCCTAATCCCCTCCGTTGGGACTGTTGCCACAAATTGTACCTGGTAGAATCAGATGTTTATGCATTCCTGCATTCCCTGATGGCTGAAAATAGAGCTCCACCTTGACATTAAGTACTCACTTCTTTTTTTGATGTTTCCTCATTGATCAGTGTTCCGGAAGTTATTGCGCTACCTATCAACGCAGGCAGTCTCCAGTACCTAGAATGGGTCAAAAACAGCACAAGGGACTGACTTAAAGCTCATTATTAGGGTTCAAGTACATAGAACCATTTGACTGGTTCTTGAAGTGGGCAAGCAGATGGTTTATGTGTTTGTCTGTGTGCAAGTGTGTGTAAATGCGCATCTCAAATAAAGCGAGCTGCATGCCAGCTTCTTAGCTTTATGTATCAGCTTCTTAGTGTTACAGTTGTAATGGGGAATCTTTAATCGCCTTTGGGTTTTCTGTTGGTTACTTTCTAAGATAATGTGCGGACTTATTTTAGTAAAAGCATACTAGTTGAATATATGCCCCTGTATGGCAGTCTGCTTCCTCACAGATTTGTGTCATCTTTCGGAGTGTTTTATTTTAACTATAGGACGGGTATAATACTTATAAAATGTGGGTGTATTATTCAGCAAATTTCTAACGCACATACGGTGAAAAATTCGGTCATCACATCAAAATTTGAATTTGTTTATTTAATTTTTGTTATTTGTATTCTTCTTTCATTAGTATGCAAAAAAACAAGGCATAAACACATGACGAATATTGAGAAGGGTGGTAAGAATTGGGTTAAAGTGGTGAGTAATAATAATTTATGCAGAAAATACTTTTAAAACGTTAATATGTGAATTTGAAATGGGTATTATGTTTGGTACAAACTACACAGATGGAAATTGGCCGTTAATTGTCCTCCCATGTGATGTGTCATGAGAGAGAGAAACGTGTATGAAACATAGGATTGACAAGGGATAAAAATAATTTCATTAGAAGTTCAGGAAACTAATTGAACAATTATTTGAAAGTAAATAAATTTAGATCCGATTGAAAGAAACTAACCACATGTTCCAGGTTCGTCCTTGCGTCACTATGAGTTACAAGGTTTCTCACCATAGAGAAAAAGCAAAGTTTCCCACAACACAAAGATTTTAAGTTCGATTCTTCCTTCTCGTTGATTAAGAAAAATCTAATTTACAAAGTTTCGATGAATCCCATTCAACAAGTATCAACGAATCCAATGACACTACCATTTTTCTCCTTTGCTATCCTCGATTATCGCAAATGCTATGATGCTACAATCCAAATTCAGAATAAAAATAGCTCAAAAGACAGCTGGTTGCTGCGATCAGATTCTACCCATTCCAAATCACTTAACAAATCAAGAACAAGTTCAGTTTCAATGTTTCGAACAGCATATATTGCATGACCTAATATACAAATTAACACACTTTCTTTCAATCAGCTTCACACAGGCAAATGACATTCAACGCCCACCTCCTCCAAAGGAAGGATAGGAGGACCCTTCAAGCTTTCAGTGCTCTCTATGGTTCATCCAACTGGTCCTGCATAAACCCAACATATAATTAGGTCTTGATCAATCAGGTTCTCACACAGAGAGAGAGAGAGAGTTACCGCATCTGAAGTCCAAAGAGTGAGGTTGTCCCTCAAAAGTTGCATGATCAGAGTGCTGTCCTTGTATGATTCTTCTCCCAAAGTGTCTAGCTCAGCAATCGCTTCCTCAAATGCCTAATTATAATAAAAGCAACTTAACTTAAAAAATGTAAAATCCAAATGGAATGTTTGTAGAAAAAGGCCATTTCAAAGTAAGACATATTGAACCACAACAAGCCTAACATGGCCTCAAAGTGTCAGTCTTTCAAGCTTTAAATGCATGAATGTCAGGAAGGAAGTGATTTCCTTTGGTACTTAAAGTGGGGCATGTTTCTCACAGAATATGTTTAATTTCATCATCTACTTAAAGTTGGGACATGTAAGGCAAATCATGAACCACAATTTATATTAATATCCCCTTGAAATTTTAAGCCATCCAAGGATACAATAATTTTGCAATCACATATATAAAGCTAAAGATCAAGGAATTTCAACAAAATGACTTAAATGGATCATATCAAATAAACAACTTCAGCAAGATTTTAACAAGACTGTCAACTTCCAAACATATGCGGAGAGAGGTATTGCTAATAAACAATTGTACCCCCAATAATTCATGTCACTACTGGTACAGCAGGGATGAAAACAATAATTTACAAACAGAATATGATCTTCTTTCGTTTCCGTATATATCATTTTTCATATTATATTTATGCATATAATATAATTGTAAATTATTAACACAGTCCACCGCCAAAACAGATGTGCAAATAGGTATTCAAAATAAACACATACCCAATAATTTATGTAACTTCTAGTGCAGCAGACATGCAAGCAACAAAGTCAAAGAGCAATAATTATCAACACAATACTCGTGGGTGACTTTTGTAAAAATCAAAAAATCAAAACCTATTAAAGTCCCATCCCCACAAAGTCATATGTAAAACAACCCAAATTCAGTTATTATCATGACTTCTTGTGACTTGATGCCTAAAAATACACCATACAGAAACCAATTATGACAAATTAAACTTCACCCCATTCACACAGCTAAGCAGATGATTCAAATAAATAGATAAATTGACCTTATATAGAACACTTGAGCAGTGACACAAAACAATATACAGAATTCACTACATTAACTTACCTAATACCTCACATGAGTAATCAAAATTTCAAAGTGATTCAAAGAGAGGGCAAGAAACAATAGAAAGAAAGAAAGAAAACCAATAACTGGAAAATTGTATTAGATTCTAACAAGATGGGATATCGAAAGATACCTGTTTGGCCATGCTGCAAGCTTTATCAGACTGATTGAGAATCTCATAGTAGAACACTGAGAAATTCAGTGCTAGACCCAATCTTATCGGATGCGTTGGTGCAAGATCCGCAAGCGCTGCGTCCTTCACAATGAAAATTCAAGCCTCAAAATTTCAGCTTTCAAATTCTAATCAATTCCAATTACCAATCTTTTTAAAAGATTGAAATTGACAAAATTCCACGTTTGGGTTTTTACTCGCAAACCCAAAAATGAAAAAGACAAATAAATAAGTGATTAAAATGTCAACGCTGACTGAATGACTGCCTCAAAACTCTAAAAACTGTAAAACCCCCAAAAAATAAAGGTGAAAAACCCAGAGATGTTTAAAAGGTCAACACTTTAAAGTACATGAAACGACGTCATCACCTGGGCAGCCTTGTAAGCGAGCATGGTGTCTTCTGCAGCAGCCTTTCTCTCATCAGCAGCCTTGAACTCAGCCATGTAGCGGTGGTAGTCGCCCTTCATCTTCAGGTAGAAGACCTTGGACTCGCTGGACTTGGCGGAGGGCACGAGATTGGAGTCTAAGATCTTCAAGATGCTGGCGCAGACATCAGAGAGCTCGGTCTCGACCTTGGATCTATATTCCTTCACCAGAGCCACGTGCTCCTCGTTCTTGCGACCCTCCTCCTTCTGCTCGATCGACGACACGATGCGCCACGCGGCTCGGAGCGAGCCGATCACGTTCTTGTAAGCCACGGAGAGCAGGTTGCGCTCCTCCACGGTCAGCTCGCCGGCGGGGGTTGCGCCGACGACCAGCTTCTCCATGAACTGGACCATCTCTTCGTAGCGCTCGGCTTGCTCGGCTAGCTTCGCGAGGTACACGTATTGCTCCCTGGTTAGGTTGTCGGGGACCACGGACGCCATTGGAGTGTTTGAGAAAGAGCTCTGCGTGTGATGTGTTTGTGGAAATGACCAAGAGAGAAAGGAGGGGGAGGGAGGGGATTATAAGAGAGGGGAAGTGGGGCCCAAGGGACGGGGGTTTAATGGGGGCCGTCGGATTTTGATAGTTGGTGGTGATAGATATGGCTTGAAGAAGGTGGTTTATTGCTAAAATGCCAGTCAGCAGCATTGTCATTGGTTCACTTTACTTTCCTAAAATTAACTTTTATTAATTTAATTTAATTTTGTAAGTTTGTTTAGGGTTTTCGTTGGGAACAATGTCTTTAGCCTTTTCCTAATGCCGTCAATGCCTGCCTTTAAATTTGCCTTGTCACCCCTTTGGAGTTTTATTCGAAATGTTTTGGACCCAAGTGGGCCACAGTCTAAAAATGAGGATGAGTTTGCATAAATAAAAATATAATAATAATAACGGTTAAATTTGGTTTGGATTGGATCAAGTGAATAGGATTTGGTTCGATTTTGGGTGAGGAGACAAAAAGAAATGGAGCATTTAAAAAGAAACGCTAAATTAAAAGTGAATACAGAGATCAAGTGTGTGTAGTTAGAATTTTGAATATAGAAATGAAAAAAAATGATAGATGTAGTTAGAGAGATAGAGTTTAGATCGTACGCAAAATTAAGCCAATAAAAACATACCACTTGAAAGTACATGCAATATTTAATTAAATATTAAGTCATTGGGATTAGCTCAAGTGTTGTGTTAGAATTATAATATGCTCAAAGTTGAATAAATTATTAAAAAAATAAATTTATGACCTATCCTATTAAGAAAAACGATAACATACTAAATTCATATACATTACACATGCTATGACTCGAATTTATAACCTTTTCTAGAGAAACAATTATTCTAATGCAGTACACGTGGATCCTTCACATAAACGACATTTTTAATCGAATAAGATAAAGATGAAAATGAGCATAGATCATTTTGATTTGTGACTTTTTAAACTTTGATTCAAAAGATATAGAGATTAAATTCCTCAAAATAGAAAAGAAAAAGATATAGATATGAAATTGGACCAACCAAGTCCGCACGAGTTCAATCAATCAGTTTTCTCTAAATTCAATACGTACCCAAGCGTAGCTTATCTTCAATGCATCAATGCACTAATTAAACTAAAATGTCGTGACTTGTCAAATTGGGAGCATCTAGCCCCCCGGTCTCATATGGGCAAACTACTTTATATGGAGTCTCCTTCTATTATCTCTATCTAAACATGGAGGAAAGCAAAATAACTGGTTTTACATAGGGATGCCGCTATCAATAACCAATCATGGCTATTTTTCAAAGATAATTATAACCTATTTAAAACTTTAATCAGTGCATTCAATCCTAAAAATGGTCAATTTAGGATATGTTTCTTTGTCATGTTAGGCAGCTGATCAATTATCAAACGCTTGTGTAAGAAAAAAACAAACAAAGATTTCCCAAAAAAAAATCAAGAAAGAAACTGGCCATATGCAGCTTGGGCTTTTTCCCTGGGCCTCAAAACCCACAATGCTCATGACCAAAAACAAACCCCACAACGCTGCGTTTTGATTTTGGTACTCCTTCCTCACTCAGAACGGAAGCAAGCAGCACTCTTTCGTCTTCTCGCCCTGCTGGGACGATCCAGTCCAACTTTACTAGGTTGAAAGTGGTATGAGCTTTAGCTCAAGTTAACAGCTAGATTTTGGCCATAAGGTGATTTTTTTTCTGCTACAAGGCAAAGGGTGCTGCTGCAGATCACATTAATTACTGAGGTCAGTTTTCCAGGCACTGCAATGTGTAATCCAAAATTTATGTATTTGTTTGCCTCTTCTCATACATATGAGTTTCCATGAGTATTAAGACATTTGGGTTTTCTTTGTTCTTTCTTTAACTTCATTTTGTGTTGACCTTCGGCTTGATTTCAAGGAACTTTGATCGAAATAAAAAGTAACCCAGTATAGGAATTGAGTTTAGAAACTTTCTTTGCCCACGAAGCATTTCATTTCATTTATCTTTTAAACATTTATGGGGCATGTGGTGGGTTGGATTTTCAGAGAGCAGGTTTAAAGGATTAGTATTAGGATGTGATAATTAATTTTACTAATTGAGGATGGAGAACCCATATCATGCAATTGTGATGCCCCTATGTTCATGAATTTTTTATTGCTTTTGTTATATGGCATTCAACTTTTACAGCAATGGTGTATAGTGAACTGTTTTGTGGATTTGATGGATGGTTCAAATGAAACAATTAGTATCTAGGGACCTAGGGTGTTATATGAATAAGACTAAGTTCATTCAAATTGGCGGTCAGGGCAGAAATATATTAGATATCTGAATCCGTTTGCTTTGTGTTCTCTTTTGGTTGATGACTTTTGTGTGTATAGCCAAGATAATTCCAAGGGTTTCCTCATTAACTCATTTTATGCGTCTTGTGTCTGTTTCTCGTATTGTTTGAGTCCTATTCAATCTTTTAATTAGAATGTATTTTTCATCCAGGTTAATGACAATTACTCAATTTGCAATCGTTTGGATGAATCCACGTTTATACAGCTGCTGTCTATGGCTATTATCTTATGTGGTTGTTGTTGTCATCGCCATTATTCTTAACTGTGCCATGGACTGATTTTACACTATTTCTTTAAAACAGCTCACAGACGTAGGTATTTAAGATCCTCATCTTTCTTCAGATGGGAGAGCCCTAGCAAGACAGCAACAGTTTTCATGAATGTTATGAGAGTTAACTTTAGTCAGTGCCGGTGGTTCTCATCCTCTCCTTCAACACTCTCATCATCACTTCCATGGATCTCTCCTCTTCAGTTTACAAAAGTCAACACACACAAACCAGACCCCCCACCCGAAACCACTACCACCCAGAAAGAAACCAGGAGGAAAACCAAGTATATTTCTCACGAATCTACCATCAACCTAATCAAACGTGAAAGAGATCCACAACATGCCTTGGAAATATTTAACATGGTATCGGAACAAAAGGGTTTTAACCACAATAATGCCACTTATGCAACTATCCTCCAGAAGCTTGCTCAGTCCAAGAAGTTCAAGGCTATCGACGCAATTCTTCATCAAATGACTTATGAGACCTGCAAATTCCATGAGGGTATATTCCTTAACCTCATGAAGCATTTTTCAAAATCCTCTATGCATGAAAGAGTGCTTGAAATGTTCTATGCTATCCAGCCAATAGTTCGTGAAAAGCCCTCTCTCAAATGCATCAGTACTTGTCTCAATTTACTGATTGAATCGAATCAGGTTGATTTCGCCCAACAATTTCTCATGCATCTGAAAAAGAATCTTAACTTCAAGCCAAATACGTGCATTGTCAACATCTTGGTTAAGCACCATTGCAAGAATGGGGACCTTGAATCTGCCTTTGAGGTTGTGAAGGAAATGAAAAAGTCTAAAATTTCTTACCCTAATTTGGTTACGTACTCAACTCTGTTGGGTGGTCTCTGTGAAAGTGACAGACTCGCAGAAGCAATGGAGCTCTTTGAAGAAATGATTTCAAAGGATCAAATATTGCCTGATGCCCTAACTTACAACGTTTTGATTAATGGGTTTTGCCATGGTGGGAAAGTTGATAGGGCTAGGAAGATATTGGGGTTTATGAAGAGCAATGGATGCCAGCCAAATGTATTCAATTACACGGCTCTGATGAACGGTTTCTGTAAGGAGAAAAGATTGCAAGAGGCCAAGGAAATTTTTCATGAAATGACGAGCTTTGGTATAAAGCCTGATACAGTTGGCTACACTGCTTTAATCAATTGCTGCTGTAGGACAGGAAAAATGAATGAAGCTATAGAGTTGCTCAAAGAGATGAAAGAAAGAGAATGCAAAGCTGATACTGTGACTTTCAATGTGATACTTGGAGGGTTGTGTAGAGAAGGTAGAATTGAGGATGCTCTTGAGATGCTGGAGAAACTTCCTTATGAGGGTGTCTATCTGAACAAGGCAAGCTACAGAATTGTGTTGAATTTCTTGTGTCAAAAAGGTGAATTGAACAAAGCGACACAGTTGTTGGGGTTGATGATGGGTAGGGGGTTTGTACCACATTATGCAACTTCAAATGACTTGCTGGTTCGACTTTCTGAGGCTGGAATGGCAGAAAACGCTGTTGTGGCTTTGTCTAGATTAGTGGAGATGGGGTTCAAACCACAGCCTGATTCATGGGCTCTTTTGGTAGAATCAATCTGCAGAGAAAGAAAGCTGCTGTCTGCATTTGAACTGCTCGATGAGTTAGTTGTTATAGAGCAGGATTAAGCCCGTAAATGGATTTCAGATGCAACAGAAACTTTAGATCCTGGCTTAAAAACCCAACGGATGAAGATGCGCATAATAGAGAACAGTTATGGAATTCTGACCTATTTTGTAACTGTGATCTACATCTTCTATTTGGTAGGACGAAATGGATCATATTTTTTTATTTTATTCAAGGGACACAGAAGCTTTAAATCCTTCACATGAAAATGGAATTTGAAAGACAGTATCATGCTACAGAATGAAGGAAAATAAATTTTCATTTGTGAAACCCCTTGGATCTTTGTTCAAGCCAGTATTGGAAGGTCAAAGGGAAGCTGTTCAACGAAGAAAGAAGAAAAGAAAGAGGTCTATAAATTGTGCTAGGGCACCTCTATTTGCAAGGGAGCATCAGTAATTAACCTTGTTTTTATAAAATTGTATCATTAACCATTTACATTGTTGTATTCTTTGACATACGTAATGTAAAATCTTTTTGCTGATTATATATGAGATAAATTTTGAAACCCAAAAGCATGCTACGGGTAGAGAACTCCCCATCATTTTCGGCTTTAAACACTACTTGTACACTCGCGTCCTAATTGAAAGAGGTCTAAGCCGCTAGGCAAAATAACCAGGGACATTCTGTGTAGTTGTTGGGCCACGCCTTCAAGGCTTCAAATACTCATATGTTAGTTGGGTCAGGTGCAAAAATCCGACTGTTGATATGTTTTGAGCCTCACACGGATCAACGAACAGGAATCACTCACGATATAGAATTGACTGTTGATACGTTTTGAGGCTCACATGCATCAACAAACAGGAATCGTCCATGGTTAACCATGACTGACCGTAGAATTTCTCTTTAATATTATTCGGGGATTGTATTTCCATGTTTTGATCGCAATAGATCCACCTGGACTAAAATCCACAGATTACCAGTGGCATAAGAATTCAACAGGAGATCAAAAGGCAAAACCAGATGAGGCATTTAAAAAACATCAACAATCTACCATGTGCGCTCATATGCCACCCACAACCAATTTTAGCACCCAAAAAGAGAAAAAGGTTTGAGTCATGTTTGACCATTGAACAATTCATAGTTAATAGTTAATGGATAAGCATTGGGGCAAGAAGATTATACAAATAGAATCTACAAGAAGAGTAACGTGGGCAAGCACGAGACATCACAACAAAATGATAGTGATATCCCCATTTTCTATTTTATACATGAGCACATGATAATAGTAACCCCAGAATACAACCAAAAACCAACCTACCAGTCCTTGTCCCCAATTATGCCAGTGTCACCAATAATGTGCCATGCATGCCAACCTACCAGTCCTTGTCCCCAATTATGCCAGTGTCACCAATAATGTGCCATGCATGCCGTAAGGTTTTTCCGTCCACGCCAAAAAGGATATCTATGCATGTGTTGTCTCACCAAATTGAATGCCTTATCCCAAGGCCATTGCATGTCAATATAAGACCTTTGTAGCGATTAAGATACTCCTGCAGACAAAAAAGTAAAAGTTGCAAGGCAAGCAAGCCACAGAAGGGAAATGTAGAAGCAGAAAAAGAAACATATCTGATACCAAAGAAAGAGGAGGATACTTACAGTTACATTGTAATCATAGACATAAAGCATCCCTTGCTTGTCATATTCTCTTCTCTTCACTGGATCACTCAAAACTGTTTAAGAAAATCAAAACACCTTGGTTAGATTCAAATCATTTGCTACACATTTCATTACAGTTATATTATAAAGGAGGAACAAATATATACATATACATGGAAAATTATAAAGGATGAAGGCCACACTGGCTCCAATAAGTTTAATCTCAATTGGTTTAGTTACAATAGTCTTCTTCTGCCATTACATATTCTCTCATATATCCAGTACTTAACTCCATAAGATTTTTAAGGGGGGAAAAAAACCATACGATTTTAGGCCTCTCATTGTGAGGATACAGTTTTCAATTCCCACTATTTAGCTCCTAATATAATTATTAGTCGTAAGTGGCAATTAGTCAAGTGGCAAGTAGTCAGGTGGCTCAAATGGCCACTAGTACTCAAATCTCACAGTGCTCTTATATATTAATGAGTTAATGAGTTGCACATCTAAAATCACATTTCATACAATTATAGTAGAGACTGGATAACATAATTACCCAACACAGTTGATATTCCAGGGTTACTATCACAAATAGTCTATCAAAATGGCGAATGATACAATTTTAAAGTTTTCTAAGGCCATTAAAATACGTGAGACATGCATCTATTGAATATTTGGCACTGCCCATATAATACTCCAAGACTGCATTTGTGTATGAGGAATATATCCAGGGAACTAATCTAAGTGATCATTGCCTCAATCATGCTTGTTTTGCAAATCCAGCTTATCTTAGGTGTGATAGGCACAAATTAGGGGTGAGAAAGCCAAACTATATGCTCCTATCTGATCTAATATTTTGGGGAGCCAATAAAGATCTAAATAAGCAGCTAAAAACCAAAGATATCAATACAAAAGAAAGGGCATTAGGAAACAGATAAAGCCCAAAATCAAGTAGTTTCGTCTAGATGTTACCTTTGTGAAGCATGCCTTCCAAAGGTTAACAAACACATAGTCAACAGGAAACTCATATCTAAGATAATAATTCTAGATAGCTCTTCATCAAGTTGGGAAACTTAAATGGATGAAACATATTGACCATGATAGATGATGCCCACATTCAGTGGCGGACTCAGACTTTCGTTCATCTGGGGGCTTACAAAAAATCCAACAGATATATAGCTAAACAAAAAACAAAAAATATTTCTAACTCAAAATATTAATAGCATTGTCCAATAAGTAAATTTACAATTGTCCTCGACGAATTTTCATATTATGAAAACATTGCATAATAAGCTCATTATCAATACTATTAAATATGTCTTTTTCAAGATATACTACCAAGGAATCATTCATTATGTGAGTGTTTATGGAAATTAATATGTTGTTTTTCATTCATTAAGGCTTGACATGTTTTCAGAGCTTGGTTATGGGAACTGTTGGGACCTCCAACATGAACTTGAAATCTTTCCTTTTTCTTCTAATTCGAAAAACTTGTACCAACAAATGAGTCACCTCAAGCTTTCTCTCCCAAGTTGCTATATTCCAACCAATAAGGGAATTCATCAAACCATGCTGGGTTGAATTGTCTTGACTCTTTTCTAATTTTTGTTTATAGGAAAATCATGATTTCTAGGCTAACAAGGCCTTTTTGTAAGTAAGCTCTTCTAATTTCATCTCGAATATTCAGATTGTAATCTAAAATCTGAGTTCGTAAACTAGAATCAGAATGAAGATATGACATATTGATTTCTATGCGACTTTCCTTTGAACTATCATCACTTCTCCCAATAGGTCGTGACAATTCCAACTTGGATTTTCTTTTAAAATCTTTTTCCATAACTGTCATAAATAGTTCTCCACCAAATTACAGAATGAGTGAACTTGGTGGGATCTCTATTCTTCTTTTATAACATAGGGTTTTTCTTTTTTAATATAAGCTTTGGGCTTAAAGTTTATGTATTGGATGGGCCATGTGGGGGCTCCACCTAAGAAGGACCTACAAATAATTTAAAAAAAATGTGAGTTTGGGTGGGATTATATGGCTGAAATGTTTTTGTAAGTGTGGGCAAGTGCCCACAGTTGTCCTTCATTGGGTCCGCCAATGCCCACATTACTTATACAGATTCTCAAGAACAAAAATGAAAAAGCTGGAAAAATCAACTGTAAATATTTACTTTCCCCACTATATTCTTTTGCGAGCCTGTCTAACTATTCCCTCACATTGTGCATGATACATTTGGCAATAAAGCAATCATGCATCAGGTCATTGTTTGCCCACAGATGTTCTCCATGAAGCAACTCTTGATTTATTATCACCATAGGGTTCAAAATCTACTTCAATACTGCCTTAGTCATAACAGGTAGGTGAGCCATTAACAATTGCTGACATGCCAATTTCTTTAATAAAATTTGGTTTGAATCAGCTACAGCATGAACTAGATGAGCCACAAAATGTACAACTCTTAAATGAAATTCTCATCATTAGAACCATAAAAGGTGCCAAAAATTTGACCTTGAAGTGCTTGTTGCAAGTGTACCAAATTCAGACGCACATTCTATACCAACCTCAAACCACCTTCCTCACACTCTTATCTGGAAAATAGGGGAACACAAGGTTCCCAAATACTACGGCTGGTTCATTAAACCCTATCTGACAAGTTGACAGTCAAACTGCAAAGCACTAAAAACGTACTAGAATAATTAACAAAGGATTGAAACACGCTAAATGGGTAGGATGATTCAGTGGTGACTGGTGACACCTAAATGTTGCACTAGAGTCCACTAACAATACACCGGCAACAGCTACCTAAGTGGTCGACTGTTAGGTAGATGTAGCAACCACCAAACGAGATTTTTAAACCCCACCAACGTCTTCACCAACATATACTCTTGTAAATTTTTTTAACCATGAACACCACCACTTCCTAGCCCGAAAATTATTAAACCCCACAAAGCCATATCTAATAACGCAGTCTCTGATCACTACCCAAATCAAGACATATGCTCCCCAATTAGCACACAAATAACTCATGTCAAATAGGATGTTCTAAGCTCAAATTTTTGCACCAAACCCAGGCTTCTTTTTCTGACAACCTAAAATTCTAACCAACCAAGCAAAGCTCAAAAGTATAAGCAAAATGCAAAAGGGTAAGAAAGTGAGTGAATTACCTTGATATGCCTCGTTTATCTCTTGAAACCTGGTGGTGGCACTGTCCTGGTCTTTTTGCTTATCCGGATGCCATTTCTGCAGGCAGAGAGTAAAAAGAAGCAAACTTTAAAGCATTACAAAGTAGTAACAAACAAAAATAAATAAAAAAGAAAAATTTGTATGAAAGAGAAAAAGCACAAACCAAGGCGAGGCGGATGTAGTTGGAGCGAATGGCGTCGTCGTTGGCATCATAATCCACTTCCAATATCTTATAGTAATCCTAAATACCCATGTAAAATAGAAAGTTAAAAGCTGCCCAATTGAAAACTAAAAATTACAAAAACAAAACATAAGAACCCTAATTTTGCGGTAAATAAAAAAATTAAAGAGAAAGAGGAGAAACCTTGGGCTTGGAAAGGTCGGAGAAGAAATCGAAATTCAAGTGGGAATCCGGGTCGGGTTGCTGCTGTTGTTCGGTGTGGGAGAAATTGGCGTCGTCCCACTCGTCCCACATCATGCTGGTTGGTTGGTGGCGGTGGGATTGGGAGGTGCGCAAATGGGAATTTTGGAAGATTTGGTGTTGGGGGATATGATATGCTGAGCCTGAGGTGGTCTTGCTGTCTTTTCTCTCTTTGTTTATCGCGAGAGCCGACGCGCCTCTGCATAAATTTGTAAAAAATGTAAGTAAAGTTTTTTTATCTGTTTATTTATGCATAACCTCCTCTTTGCTCCAACTTTTTTTTTCTTTCTATCTTCATCCAAAACTCATCGTATTGATCCAAACAATGAGCACAAAAACAGTCAAATTTATCAAATATATCTGGTTTCTAGAAATTTACACACAGTACGGTGTTTAGATTATCTAATTAAAAAGGATGTGTGGGTTACGTCGGTTAGTCAAGACGGTAAGTCTATTCTCTTGCAGTAGTATTCAAATTTCTTCTTTGTAAATTAGAGTAATTTAGATCATCATTTATATTAATAATTTTTTTAATTTAAAGATAATTTAGTTTTTTCTTGAGTTGGAAAATGATAATTGGTCGTTCATAGGTGTATTTTTCTAACTAATCCTATATTTTGTGTGATGATAAAAGCTAAACCCTATATTTTCTGAGTAAAAATAACGACTTTTATCTCTATATATAAAGCAAAGGCAGAGAATTGTAAAACATTCAAAATATCAAAAAAATGCTCTTGGTTAATTCAAACATTAAGAATTGAAATTATTAATTAAATGAGGATAATATGGTAAATTCACTTTTTTATATAAAAAAATAAAAATAAAAACAAAATCATATAATAGGTGCTACTTTTATGGAATATAACTACCCATATCACGCATGTGCCAAGGGGGCTAGTCCGGAATTGATGAGAAATATCTTTTTAACTTTTAAGTAATAGATATCTTTTTTGTTAAGCTATTTTCCTTCTTTTGGTTATATTTTTTTTGTAAAACTTGAGCCATAAATATTAGGAGGAAATAAGAAACTTGATCCACAACAAAATAAAAAGGGATATTTGTTGAAATGTCATCTAAACTTACACCTTAGTTTCAATTTGTCACATTAAATTTTTTTTTAAGTGAAATGTCACCTAAATTTTTCAAAATCCATGATTTGTCACCTTAGTTTAACATAATCCAATTTTCCATATATTTTCAAGGGTATTTTAGTCTTTTCATTTTCAAGAATATTTTTAAAATGGAAAAAATTATTATTAAAAAAAATAAAGCTTAAATGTAAAAATGGTTGGGGGTTAAATGTGAAAAGATATATAATTTTTGTAATTTCCAAAGGTCTTTTCATAATTTTTTTATAATGATTTTTCCATTTTTTAAATACTCTTGAAAAGAAAAAGACTAAAATACCCTTGAAAATAGTTGAAAAATTAGATGAAGTTAAACTCAGGTGACAAATCATGGATTTTGAAAATTTCGGGTGACATTTCACTTAAATTTTTTTTTCAGGTGACAAATTGAAACAAATGTATAAGTTCATGTGACATTTCAATGAATATCCCAAATAAAAAATAAAAAATCTGATGTTTGATAAATCACAGAGCCCACGTTGCATACCGGATCCAAATCTGCAACCTTGACCCGAAACAAGGTCATAGTTTTATATTGGATGGATACCATGTCCATGATCATGAAAAATAAATAAGGAAAAAGGCCGAAGACATACATGTCGAATTGTTTTGCATTTTCTTTTGGGTTGAACCCATGAGCTGCTCAACCAACACAATTGCCCCCATTAATTGACATTTTACTGCTGGGAATTTAAACGAAAAATTATATTGCTAACTACGAAGTAAATTTGAAGAAATGTGATTATCCAAGTTTGAAATAATGCATATTTTAAAGTGAATAAATGCATTACTTGAGTCACATATTTTGAATATTCTAGTTATTGGCGCAATCGAATTACTTATACACTTGTATATACATACACGCAATGCACTAATGCTAGAGACGTGGACATAACTATAATTATAAGATTGAAGGACCAAAATGTAAATATTAATTTGAGAAATAAATAAATATTAAAAACTTTGTATTCCTTCGTGTACTCATTTGTTGGGGGACGAGGCCATTGTAGTGTCTCATAAATGAGTCAATATGAGAGAGTGTTGAATACTAATTTAGTGCAAGGATCTTATGGTTTGAAATATTACTACCCGTATTTATCTTAATTAAGTATAGTGATACAAATGATAGTGGAGTGCAAAATTATCTTAATTACCGGTAATTAATTTGTTAAATATATATTATGACATTATGAAATAATCATGTGTTGGCATTTTACCTTTTGTAATAGGGAGTTTCACTAAAACACCCAAAATGGGGTCTGAAATTATAAAAAAACTCAAACACTATTTAAACATATAAACACACCAAAAACTCATCATTACACACACTCAAAACCCATTTATAAACACACCCAAAAAGTTGACTTTTGAGTTGATTTTGGGTGTGTTTCTATATTTAAATAGTGTTTGAGTTTTTTTTATAAATACATGTCTAGGATTGAGTTTATTTATAAATTTGTATTTGTAATATTGGTGGGTTAAGAGCACTTCTAGCGCTATGCCCAGCCCGGGCAGGAGGCCTCCTAGGCCTGCGAAGCAAGCTGCCAGGGCAGATCTGGGCTCCACAAGCCTGGGCAAGCCCAAAGGCAGAAACAGCCTGAGTTGTTGCATGAGGACGATGACGTCATCAACTTAAAAAAAATTTTAAATCGAAAAAACTTTTGAAAAATTCCAACAAATTCAAAAACATTTTTTTTTATACATACCTAGCAATTTTATTATTATTAATCTCATACATATAAATAAAATTAATATCATGTAAATAGTGGTTGCCTTTAAGTTGCCATGGAAACACAAATTGCTTTTTGTAAGAGCTGCCACTATTCACATGAATATTGGCTTCCCTTGTCTTTTGTCATGACACCATTGGTGGAAATGCTCTAAGGAAACAAGATGATGTTCTTAGAGCATCTCCAGCGCTAGGGATTTGCCCTGGCAATAGGCCCCCCAAGCCCAGTTTCATACTCCAGCACAAGAAATCCAGCCCAGGCAAGACATGAGACCCACCAGCCCGGGCAAGCCCACATGCAGAAATTAACTGGGTTGTTGCTTGCGGGATGATGACATCAACAACTGATTTTCAAATATTTTTTTACTGTTGGACCCACAAGCCCACATTGCCCAATGGTTACAAGCCACGTGGCCTCTCCTGGAGTCTCCGATAAAAAAATCTTGCACAATCCGACGATTGTACAATTTTTGGCTAAAAAAAATTGAAAAGAATATCAAAAAATTATGGAAATTTTTTCTATACATACCTTCCAATATTATTCATTTTCCACACCAAATTTAATTTCAAAATTTTATATGAAAATGTTATATTGATTTTTATGTGAGAATTTTACGATAAATATTAATCCTTGGGAATCGAAAATCTTATCTGAAAAGCTTATCAAAATCAATGGTTTAAGTATAAAAAATAAAAAATATATTTAAGTGGATAGTAATTGCCTTAGCCTTAGCCTTTTGGAGTGGAACCACAAATGGTAAGGGTACCACTATTCATGTGAATAGTGGCAACCCTTGCCTTGCCTTAGCCTTAGCCATTTGGGGTGGAGATGCTCTTAGAGCCATTCCACCCACGAGCCCAAGCCCGAGGCTGGGGGGAGGCAGCGCCAAAAATCCATTTCCAATTGGCCTATCTTGCCCTGGTAGGATATGGGGCCCACGAACCCTGGCTGGCCCTCATGCAATATCTGCCCTAGGTCCAGCCCCAGTTTGCTGATGTCAACAACAACAAAAATTTAAAAAAAAATAAAAAATCTACAAAAAATACAAAAAAAAATCAGATTTAAAAAAAAATACTTAATTGTAGTTTTCACTTCCCACACCAAAACTCTATACAAATTTCTCTCATCATATCTCATGTGAATAGTTGTTGCCATGACAATTGGTGGAAACACCACAACCTTTTGCAAGGGTAGCAACTATTCATGTGAATAGTAGCTGCCCTAGCCCCCCCTTGCCATGTCAAAGGGCAAATGGGTGGAGTTGCACTTATGGAATTACCTTTTAATTCGGTCATGCATAGGAAAGTTGTTGACAATTGCGTTTTAGCATATTTTCCATATGTATTATTTTATATATATATAATTTAGTACTAGCCTCTTGGCACACGCTCACGCATGTGCTAATTGGTTTTCTTTTTTCTTTTTTATTTTATTTTTTTGAATTAAGAAAAGATAATATGGATAGTTATGTTTCATAAAAGTAGGAGTTATTATATGATTTTGTTTTTAATTTTAATTTTTTTTAATATGAAAAAATGTGAATTTATCATATTATCCTCATTTAATTAATAATTTTAATTCTTAATATTTGAATTAATCAAGAACATTTTCTGGCATTTTGAATGTTTCATTATTCTCTGCCTTTCGTTTTATAATTTAGTAAAATATGTCGGCTCAATTTCTATGTTAAAAAATTAAAATAAAAGGCCGACGAAATCAGCTTTTGAAAGAGAGCAAGGGAGGCTATAACGTGAATCGTCGATGATGCTAAGCTGAAATAAAGTAATCAAAGGCACTGAAGCGGATCGATAGCGTTTGACGAAATTGACCTTTCAGGACCTAAAGGGTTAGTTAATCCCGCGCGGGCAAATGACGAAGACAAGAGGGCAAAAAATAGCGCGCCGGAGAAAAACGAAGAATATTCGAGGGTACTACAGTAATAACAGGACCAACAGAGGCCCATTTCCGTCGACGAAAAAAAAAGAAAAAAAAAGAAACTACCAACCAATCAATGTGTGAACCTTGTGAAACGCCGGCCGTTCACAACAAAAATATAGAGAGAGCCAAAAAGACAAAGCCACTTCTCAACTTCAACTACCGAACACCAAGAAAAAACCAGAGGCACATCCATGGTGTGAGGCCAAAAGCCCCAAAATTCTTCAGTCTCAAACCAAATGGCTTCAATTTCAGGCATTTACTC